CCATCATCCAGATCACACTCATAGTGACCTTGTTGTCCACCAGGACCCCTAGGTCTGTTTCCACAGAGCTGCTCCCCAGCTGCCTCTCAAGCCTGTCCACATTTTTTTTGCATAGCAGGGACCAAAACACAGTGGTCCAGGTATGGCCTGAGAAGCGCTGAGAAGAGTCCGATAGTGACTTTTTTATCTCTGCTGGTGATGCCCTTGTTGATGCAATCCAGCATCCTATTGGCTTTCTTTGCTGCAGCAGCACACTGTTACTCATAGTGACCTTGTTGTCCACCAGGACCCCTAGGTCTGTTTCCACAGAGCTGCTCCCCAGCTGGGTAGAGCCTGGTCTGTGCTTCACTCCTGGATTGTTTTCTCAGGTGCAAGTCCTTATATTTGTCTTTGTTGAACTTCATAATGTTCTTGTTCTCCCACTCTCTACCCTATCCAGATCTTTCTTCAGGGTGGCTCTCCCTTCCAAAGTACACTTCCCAACCAATTTGGTATCAGCAAACTTCATGAGGGTACACTTGATCCCATCATCCAGATCACATGAAGACATTAAACAGCGTTTAACACCAACCTCTGGGGTATTGTACAACATCAGTCCCCGGGGGACCCCACTTGTGACAGGCTGCCAGTTTGACAAGGAACTATTTACCAGCACCCCCTGAGTGCTGCCTGTCAGCCAGTTCCTGACCCACTGCACAGACCACTTGTCTAGACCATAACACATCAGTTTCTCTAGGAGGAGGCTCTGGGGAAACTATATCAAAAGCCTTGGAGAAGGGTTTTGGTAGACAATGTCCACCACTCGCCCCTCATTAAGCGAGCAGTTTACTCTGTTGTAGATGGTGATCAGGTTTGTCAAACGTGATTTTCCCATGATGACTACATGCTGGCTTTTCCCTATCGTGTGCTTCGACTTGTGGTAGACCCCAGGAGAATTTGTTCCATAACTTTCTCAGGGACTGAAGTGACACTAGTGGGCCTATAATTTCCTATAATTCTCCTTCTTGTAGATGGGAGTGACATTAGTCTTCTTCTAGTCTTCTTTGATGTTCCCCCATCTATCATGACTTATCAAAGATTATGGAGAGTGGCCTTGCAAGGATGTCAGGAAGTTCAATTAACACCCTCAGGTGGGTGTTGTCAGGGCCCATTGATTTGTAGGGGTCAAGCTCCTCTGATAGTTCACAGGCCAGCTCTTCCTTCGCTGTCGCTGGGTCTGTGTTTGCATCAGCCTGGATTGTTGTTCCCAAGGCCTGGCACCCAACAGCTCTGGTAAAGACAGCAGTGAAGGAAGTGTAGAGAACCTCTGCCTTTTCAGCATCATTGGTGACTAATTCACCTCTCCTGTTTAACACCAGGCCAATATTTTCCTTCTGTTTCTGCTTGTTGTTTACATACCTGAAGGACCTTTTCTTGTAGTTTTTGACATCTCTGGCCAGTTTCAATTTGAGCTGAGCTTTTGCTTTTCTAACTGCCTCTCTGCATTCCCTGGCAATGCCCTTGTGTCTCTTAACAAGTATTTGTCTGCATTTCTGTCTCTGGCACAGAGAGGCAGAAGGAGGATCAGAGATAATATTGGTCCGTTTCTTGAAGTGGTCAGTCACCTCACAGATAAGGAAGTAGACAAAGCAGAGACATTTAATCCTGGGATAATCCTGGTTGTACGTACCGACTGGGGGGTGAGAGGCTGGAGGGCAGCCCCACAGAAAGAGATGTGGGGGTTTGGGTTGATGGCAAGTTGAACATGAGTCAACAGTATGTCCTGGCAGCCAACAGAGCCAACAGTGTCCTGGGGTGTGTCAAGCACAGCACAGCCAGCCAGTCAAGGGAGGGGATTGTCCCACTCTGCACTGCACTGGTGCAGCACCACCTTCAGAACTGTGTGCAGTTTGGGAGCCTCAATGTAGGAAGGACACCACACTATTAGAGTGTGTCCAGAGGAGGGCGACCAAGATGGTGAAATGTCTCGAGGTCGAGACTAGACTTAGGAGGAGTGGCTGAGATCACTTGGGTTGCTCAGCTTGGAGAAGGGAAGGCAGAGGGGTGACCTCATGGCAGCCTGTACCTTCCTCAAGGGGTGCAGTGGAGGGAGAAGTGCTGATCTCTCTCACTACTGACCAGTGACAGGACACGAGGAGATGGAATGGAGCTGCATCGTGGAAAATTCAGATTGGGCATTAGGAGAAGGTTCTTCGCTGAGAGGGAAGTTAGTCACTGGAACAGGCTCCTCAGGGCATCAAGCCTGTCAAAGTTCAAGGAATGCCTGGATGATGCTCTTAGTCCTGTGAGGAGCAGGGAATTGGTCTTGATGATCTTTATGGGTCCCTTCCAACTTGAGATATTCTGTGATTATAATTCTCTCACTTGGGAAGAGAATGAGAGAACAGAAAGAGCCATCCAACTGGAGGGTGGCTTTGCAGAATAAGACTTGGGTGTCCTGGTTTACTTGGTGTGTTGTTGTGGCAAAGGAGGCTAATAATATCCTGGGATTAGCAGGAGTGTTGCCAGCATTGGGTGGTGATCCTCACCTTCAGTACTGGTGAGGCCACACCTGGAGTACTGTGTCCAGTTTTGGGCTCCCCAGTACAAGAGAGAGGTGGAGCTACTGGAGCAAAAGGCCAGTAAGATAATGAAGGAACTGGAGTATCTCTTGTATTGAGGAAAGGCTGAGAAATGTTTTACAAATACCTGAAGGGAGAGTATAAAGAAGATGGAGCCAGACTTTTTTCAGTTTTTCTAGTGACAGAACTAGAGGCATTGTGCACAGTCAGAAACACAGGGAGTTCTGCCTGCACATAAGGAAACAATTTTGACCGTGAGGATAACCAGGTTCTGGCACAGGTTGTCCAGAGAGGTGGTGGAATCTCCGTCCTTGAAGATCTTAAAAAACTGCCTAGGCAAGGTCCCAGGCAACCAGTTTTAGGTGACCCTGCTTGAGCAGGATTGGGCAAGGTGATGTCCAGAGGTGTCTTCCCATGTCAACCATTCTGTGATTGTCTAATGACTAAAAATTAGTGATTCAGTGCTGAAAGATGGTGCTTCCATCACTTGAGCCACTTTTGTCTTGCAACAGAGAAAATGTCTTTATGACAATGATGCTGAAAAAAGTCAAGGGATGATACTGTCTTAGAGAAGCAATCACTAAGGTTCTCATATGCTACATGGCCTATGGAAGTAGCAGGTTGCAATAGTCATTGGGATGCAATTCTGGTTTTGCTTCTTATGTTGCTTCTTGTTTTTACTAGACTGAGATCTGCAATAGATGTTACATCTTGTAATTCAGGGAATGTGAGATTTGTCGGTATGAATTCTTCACAGCTTCTGTTAGCACAGTAGAAATGTTCACTGTATGTAGTTATGCAGAATATTAATTTTTATGATACACATTGGAGTTTGTGTATTCCTTGTAGTCTTTAGTTGTTAGCTGTTGCAGATTATTTTACAAGTGTTTTTACTGAGTTTTTGTAATTTTTTTATAATCTTCCCATCTTATGCAGAAACTCTGCATAAATATTAAATAGTTCCATGATGGAAGGAAGGAAGAGGATAGGGAGGTAGTGTCAGCTTACGTAGAAAAGTGGTCATTGTATCTCACTCTAGTTAGTATCACTGTAGTTAAATTCTCTCACTTGGGAAGAGAATGAGAGAACAGAAAGAGCCATCCAACTGGAGGGTGGCTTTGCAGAATAAGACTTGGGTGTCCTGGTTTACTTGGTGTGTTGTTGTGGCAAAGGAGGCTAATAATATCCTGGGATTAGCAGGAGTGTTGCCAGCATTGGGTGGTGATCCTCACCTTCAGTACTGGTGAGGCCACACCTGGAGTACTGTGTCCAGTTTTGGGCTCCCCAGTACAAGAGAGAGGTGGAGCTACTGGAGCAAAAGGCCAGTAAGATAATGAAGGAACTGGAGTATCTCTTGTATTGAGGAAAGGCTGAGAAATGTTTTACAAATACCTGAAGGGAGAGTATAAAGAAGATGGAGCCAGACTTTTTTCAGTTTTTCTAGTGACAGAACTAGAGGCATTGTGCACAGTCAGAAACACAGGGAGTTCTGCCTGCACATAAGGAAACAATTTTGACCGTGAGGATAACCAGGTTCTGGCACAGGTTGTCCAGAGAGGTGGTGGAATCTCCGTCCTTGAAGATCTTAAAAAACTGCCTAGGCAAGGTCCCAGGCAACCAGTTTTAGGTGACCCTGCTTGAGCAGGATTGGGCAAGGTGATGTCCAGAGGTGTCTTCCCATGTCAACCATTCTGTGATTGTCTAATGACTAAAAATTAGTGATTCAGTGCTGAAAGATGGTGCTTCCATCACTTGAGCCACTTTTGTCTTGCAACAGAGAAAATGTCTTTATGACAATGATGCTGAAAAAAGTCAAGGGATGATACTGTCTTAGAGAAGCAATCACTAAGGTTCTCATATGCTACATGGCCTATGGAAGTAGCAGGTTGCAATAGTCATTGGGATGCAATTCTGGTTTTGCTTCTTATGTTGCTTCTTGTTTTTACTAGACTGAGATCTGCAATAGATGTTACATCTTGTAATTCAGGGAATGTGAGATTTGTCGGTATGAATTCTTCACAGCTTCTGTTAGCACAGTAGAAATGTTCACTGTATGTAGTTATGCAGAATATTAATTTTTATGATACACATTGGAGTTTGTGTATTCCTTGTAGTCTTTAGTTGTTAGCTGTTGCAGATTATTTTACAAGTGTTTTTACTGAGTTTTTGTAATTTTTTTATAATCTTCCCATCTTATGCAGAAACTCTGCATAAATATTAAATAGTTCCATGATGGAAGGAAGGAAGAGGATAGGGAGGTAGTGTCAGCTTACGTAGAAAAGTGGTCATTGTATCTCACTCTAGTTAGTATCACTGTAGTTAATGTGCTCTAAATATCTATCAGAATCTCAACTGTGGTTTGTGGAACTTCTCATGATGGTATATGCTTGAGGTTTTTCTTCTTCTCCACTCCTTCATATAACTTTTCCTCAAAAATAGGAGATTCTGGTGTCTGGGGCTTGAAAAAGAATTTTGCTTTGTTGGAGCTCTTGGAACGGTTGCAGAATGGACCTGCTGGGCAGTGTGGGACATCAGAAGAAGCCATTGGCCTGTCTGGAGAGGTACTGAGCTTTAAAAAAAGCAAAAAGTGTGTTACATTTTCCTAAAGGTATCTCTAGGTAGAAAAAAAAAATATGATTTTTTTGCCAAATGTAATTTCACTAGTAAAGCTGATGCTTGCTTTCAGTATCTAGCATTAAGGCTTTAATTAATTGCTTCATAATTAAATGCTAATCTGCACTGACTAAAGCATAAAATAAAAAGGTATTGCCAAGTGTGCATACCCTTTTCCCCGTTTTAGACTGTTAACATTTTCAGAAAAGTTTATTCATTTGGATACTTCAGTTATAGTGATTAAGGACAGTTTTCTAAAAGTTCTCAGAAACTCTTCCAAAAGTCTTAAACTCTTCTTCTCTAGAAGTTGCCTTTTATAGTAATTTGTTATCACTATATCATGTGATAGTACTTCATTATCAAAACTAGGCTATAATAATTTCAGCATTAACAACTGGTTTGCAAAAAGTATCATGCACTCTAATAAATAACTGTCCTAAGCACCTATTTTTCCATTGGTGTTTTGTCTGTCTGTAACTTTGTAATTCTTTGTTCTGTAATGACTGATTCAGAGGAAATGAATGGAGCCTGAATTATTCTAGCCTTCAAACTTTTACAACTTCCATTGAAGTTTGGATTTATAAAATCACTGTACACCTCTAGCATTGGCTGTAAAAGAAACTGACTTTTATTTTTTTAAAAAAATTATTGGGATTTGTTGGGATTATAGTCCAAATATTTATTAGTGTGTAATTTTTAAGGAAAGTCTGTTTTCAGGCTTATATTGGTGGCAGGTCTGCTGATTTTCCTCAATTCTTGGGATTAAACGTTAACAACTTAAGTTTTGTCTGTTGTTGTTGTTGTTGTCAGAGTATCATCCGGTGCGATGAAGATGAGGCCCACGTTGCGTCTGTGTATTGCACCGTCTGTGCCACTCACCTGTGCGCAGACTGCTCCCAGCTTACCCATTCCACAAAGACACTAGCGAAACACAGGCGTGTTCCTCTTGCTGATAAGCCTCACGAGAAGACCATGTGCTCCCAACACCAAGTACATGCCATTGAGTTTGTTTGTTTGGAAGAGGGTTGTCAGGCGAGTCCTCTTATGTGCTGTGTCTGCAAAGAATACGGGAAGCATCAAGGTCATAAGGTACTGCTAATAATCTGTTTCTAGTCATGCTGTGGGGTGGATTGCATAATTATTTATCCAATTAAAGTACAAAAGATTGTCAAGAAAGGAGGGTAGATTCTTGATATGTCTTGATATGAAGTAACTTCATACAGTTCTTTTGTTTTCCCTTCATTATGGGTAAACGACATGGTAAAATTTCAAGAAAAACATTATTTCTAAGATCACAATAAGTTATATATGTATTAAGAATGACAGTCCCTGTATCTAATGCTTTGCTGAACTTCGCATGGCATTGAGTCACTAGTTCTGAAAGTTGTTTTCATCATGCAAACAGTAGGTGCAGTCAAGCCTGGGGTGCAGTCCAACCACCCTTCTATTTTTTATAAATGATTATGGTAAACAGGCAAATTTGTGTATTTACTTGTGTGACTGCTAGATACCTATCTTAGTCTCAGCGTAATCTGTAACTCCTGATTGCATTTTGAATTGTAAGATGGTTTTAAATTCTTACTTGCCTTTCCTGTATATATATGTATGTACTAAAATAGAAAACATTATTAAGGAAGATGTTTATGATTGATATTTGATATTTTGCTTTTAATTAATAGCATTCTGTCTTGGAACCAGAAGCCAACCAGATTCGTGCATCCATTTTAGACATGGCCCACTGCATAAGAACTTTCACAGAAGAAATCTCAGATTATTCCAGAAAATTAGTTGGAATTGTTCAGCATATAGAAGGAGGAGAACAAATAGTTGAAGATGGAGTTGGAATGGCCCATACTGAACATGTATGCTTTTTTTTTTCCCCCCCATACATGCACAGAATATTTGCTTTCTGTGATAACAAGGATAAGGAATTTCTTTGAAAATTATACATGACTTTTAAAAGACAAGACCTTAAGTTCTTCACTCTACCAGGTTGGTTTTGAGGCTTAAGCCAGCAGATAGAGGGAAACTTACAGTCCATTACAATGTTTTTAGGCTACATGAAAATAGGGAGACAGCATGGAAAGCTCCATAACTGCTAGTACAGTACTGAAGTACTGTGACAGATTGCATCTGTTCTCAGGTGCTGTATATATGCTATTGAGGCTTTTTTCCCTGGTCATGTTTAGTAAGCTGTGTATACACACAAATAACCTATTTGATTATTGGAGTAACTTCTTGGACGATCTTGATCTTAGGGCTGATAAGGCTCTCTGTATAACTGGGACTTGAACTGTGATGTACCCAAGCAGGTGAACATAAATTAGATACTGGATTAAAATGAAAAAATGTACTTCTGGAATCAACTGCTGTCCTTAATCCTCTGGATTTCCTGACTACAACACTGTAGGTACCAGGGACTGCAGAGAACGCTCGCTCATGTGTCCGAGCCTATTTTTCTGATCTTCATGAAACCCTTTGTCGTCAGGAGGAAATGGCTCTTAGTGTTGTTGATGCTCACGTGAGAGAGAAATTGATTTGGCTCAGGCAACAGCAAGAAGACATGACCATCCTCTTGTCACAGGTTTCAACAGCTTGTCTTCATTGTGAAAAGACTTTACAACAGGTAGGTTGACAAGTGAGCTGTAACATATGGCAAGATAGGTGGAGCTGGAAATTAACTTTAGGCTACAGACAAAAGGCATAGATGGTAGTCTGCATTTTTGTTTCCTTTACAATGTTAAAGCAACAATGATATGATTGAAGTATTCATGACAAGGGAGTGTTAGGCAAGAATAATCAGTACAGAAGCATTAAGTCCTCCAGTTGCTGGAAATCCTGTGGCATGACTCTGTTGTCTGGAGTAATTTCTAATTATTTGTGAGGTTAGTGGGAAGGAGAGAAACTGGAAGGATTGTTACTTATTGGAAGGATTTTACAGTTGCAATTACCCCTATAGGTGTTTAAAGATAGTGGTCATATGAGGATGGTAGGAAAAAAGGTTTTAGGACCTTTTGGTAGCACTTGTAATAATACTAAATATGTGAAGAAATTGGCTATATGAGAGTATTGGTGGCCCATTATTCTTTTAATTTAGTGATAGCATATGTAGTGAACAGTAAGCTCAATATAAGAAATTATTCCATTACTGTGTTATTTATTTTTGTTTGTTTGTTTAGACTAGTGTCAGATTGCTTATTCAGATGTGCTTGTGAACTGTGCAAATGTTCTCACCATTAATGAGTGGATTTTAATCTTTGTGTTGTATGTTGCTGTGTGCTGCAAAGCTGCTGCTCCATTCCAGCTGCTGGAATGATATAATTATTCATTTTATATAACATTACTGCCTCTTATTTTTGTATTCATACAGGACTAAGACAGGTCAAAGAAAAAGGTTTTTTAAAACTGCAGAACTATTTAATATCCATTAGTATTAAGGAAGAATGGTGGGATCTTCACATTTGTATTGCAATTTTAAATTGATCTATTTTGTAAATGTGAGTTTCTTTAACTAGGATTAAAGAAAATTTAAAGCGTATTTAAAGCATTTAAAATGCTTTATTTCCAGCCACCATATTTGCATTGTGTTTGGTTATTTTAAATAAGTTACTAAAGGAAAAAAAATGCTTTTGTTTTCTTTGTCTGTTTAGGATGACTGCAGAGTAGTGTTGGCGAAACAGGAAATTACAAGATTGCTAGAGACATTACAGAAACAGCAGCAGCAGTTTACAGAACTTGCAGATCACGTACAGCTGGATGCTAGCATACCTGTCACTTTTACAAAGGTATTCTTAATCTCATCAAAATAGAGCTATCTGCTTTATGAAGTCCCGAATGTAATTTAAAGAAAGCAGGAACATTATATGCTCATTGTGATGCAGCATTTGTTGCAACAAATTTAGACAGTTCTGTATCAGAGCCACCATGTCTTACCATATGATGAGTGCCATCTGGTATTTGAGCAACAAAACCACTGTGCTGTTATAGTGAGAAACATTTGTTTGACATTGACTACATCAGTAGCTTTCCTTGAAAATAAGCTGCTTTCTTTTAGATATGTAAGATCATATTTTTAAATTCTAGAAGCACCTTTCTTTACAAACATTCGTTATTTGCTGTTCATTCACATCAGACCAGGAATCTAACCATGGTTTTTCCATGTATTTTTGGCTTTTTCAAGAGGACAGCATAACTTCTGCAAAATGTTTATAATTTTATTTCCTGAAAATTGCATATCTATTTTTAAATGCAATAATACTGTTATAAGTTAGAGTCTATAGTGTTAAAAATAATGTATGTATTTCAATTTGTTAAATTATAATTTTTCTTGTAGTTGCTTTGTACTCACTGATAGTTTAGACACAGTTTATCTTCTAAGTACGTTTTTTTAATTGCTGTAATATCATTTCAATACAGCTTGCTCTTTGAAAGGGATGAAATTACTTGTAGTTTGATAATGGTGATACTTTTCACATAGGAGAGTAATTAAGTTTGAAACTCTAAAGAACAAGAAGTACTTTGATTACTCGGGGTTTATAGTTCTGAATTGGTAAAAGAGGAATAGGGTCTATTGTTGCTGAGGTGAAACTGAGGGTTTAACTGTTGCTGTTGAACATTTTACTATAAGGAAGTGGATGCTTCTGTGGGCATTCTGGCCCAGTCCTTGTTGATGTCTGAGTAATTTGTTTTGTAAATTCCATATATTTGAATTTCCGTGTAAGAACTGCTTTGTCAGATCAATAAATGCAACGTTTTCACTTCTGCCCCTGAGAGCGGGCCCCGAGAGGGTGGCCAGGTTGTTTCACTGTCAGCAAACTCTGCCCATAGGTAGGGTGCTGCCTCCAGCAAGAAATCTGTAAAATTAGCAGCTCTAACCTGAGCTGCCTCTTTTCCTTCCTCCTCCTTTTCAGGCACAGAGAAGAACTTGGGAGATTAATCTCCAGAAATTTTAGACAAAATCAGAACTGTGGCTTGAGTGTGAAAAGGGTGCTGAGGCATTTTTTAGACTCTCCAGAGACTTTTGCATGCTTTTATGTTCTTTGTTTTTGCCTGTACCTTTCTTGCTGACACGCTTGGCAAGAATCCGCCCACAGGTTTTCCCTTTCCAGGAGATAACTCTTTTTGATAACATGCTATGTTGCAATGTTGTCACTGAATTTAGCAACTTCAGCTTGGAGTTGAAAATTCTGTATCTTAGGGGAAGTTTGTTGAAAAGCAAGTAAGTCTCAATGTTTTATTCTCCAGATCTTAAATGTTCAGTTAGTCCTTTGGTTTTGGAGTACCTGCCTTGTGTAGCATGGCTGTAATCAAGATCTGTTAGTTGCAGAAACCATGCTGTTTGCTGACTAAGTCCATGAGCAGCAAGCTGTTATACACAGGGAGGGTTATCACTATGTGCTTTCCTTGTTCCTTACTTTCACACGTATCTATCTTCACCTAGTTTCAGACAACATGCTAGATTAGATGGACCTTTGATCTGACTCTTACACTTGAAATTGTGTTGTTGCTGACTTTTGTGTTGTGGTACTTGCATTAATTTTTTATTTTTTTTTATTTATTTAGAAAGCAGTTTCTCTAGAAAGGTGATTTTACTCTTTGAAGATTGCAATAGCGTAAAGTTACTTAATTAATCTCTATTGATTATTCTGGCAGTATGCTACTTCATCTGTGACAGAGGGGAGAATGGAGCTGTGTGTCATGATGACCTATATCCAGCTATTTAATGAATGTACGTGTGTGTGTGTGTACATACACATCTCAAGTCACATCATGTAGATGTTTATACATCTGGTCACACTGGTGCATGTTGGTCTTGTAGCAGGAGTGACTGTAGCATTTTTCCACTCAATAAATAGCATTTCTAATGCAAGAACAAAAAAAAAAAAAACAGCTGGGTGCGGTATACAGCGGTTTTGAGTATTACTTGCCCAGCACAGTGCTGTCTGGATTTTGCAGGAAAGCGAACGTACGGCCACATAGTTCTGATGATCGAAACTCTGTTATTTCATCAAGGTACCATTTTTAAGTACTTCAAAATATGTTTCAGGGGTACATAATAATCGTACCCTATGTTGTTTATTTTCTAAAGCAAGAAAAAAAAAAAAAAAAACAGCTGTGTGCGGTATACAGCGGTTTTGAGTATTACTTGCCCAGCACAGTGCTGTCTGGATTTTGCAGGAAAGCGAACGTACGGCCACATAGTTCTGATGATCGAAACTCTGTTATTTCATCAAGGTACCATTTTTAAGTACTTCAAAATATGTTTCAGGGGTACATAATAATCGTACCCTATGTTGTTTATTTTACAATTTATGATTTGCTGGTTTATGTTAGTTATACCACTTGATTGCATTGTTAGCATCAGCTTACTCAACACTCATGGTAGCTTGATCTGAACTACAAATAGGAAGGTGATTCTTTTTCCTTGCCTTCAAGCACGACTTGGGGTTTCTTTTGTTTGTTTTTCTTCACTATTTCAGATTGCTGCTTAATGCTAATAATGTTGCTGTTGCAACGTGGTAAAGGATTAGAAGTGTTTCGACGTGAATAGGTGTAGCTATGGAGCCTCCAGCAAGGAAATAATTCTGTAGGTGGGGGCATTAATAATGTGACAAAACATAGTGTAAAAACTACAAAACCAATAGAAAATTCTGTGGTCAGGGAACTCCAACTAATAGCTACAAATAATCCATCATGCAGTTTGAGCCAAAAATTATGAAAGATTTTTAAATTTTATAAAGTACAGACACACTAGCAGGAGATTAGCTGTCTTTCTAAAAGGCCTGTGGTAACTCAGGCAGAAGTTACAGGTTCACTACAGAGATTGTTGGATATTTTGGTTTGTATTATTGCTGGAGGCAATTGATGATTGTGTCTTGTATTTTAAAGTCAAACTTTTTAATGACTTCACAAATGGTGACAAGGTAAATATCTTAAACATAAAAGTTTTCTAACTTGAATTTCCTAAACTTGCTCTTGTTTTGTGTATGCTGTTTCTTACAGGACAACAGGGTACATATTGGACCAAAAATGGAAATCCGTGTTGTCACTCTAGGATTGGATGGAGCTGGCAAAACAACTATATTGTTTAAATTAAAGCAAGATGAGTTCATGCAGCCAATTCCAACAATAGGTTAGTAGCAACAATTTATATGTGGGGTTTTTTTCTGAATGTTTGACATATCTGTAGAATTTGATCATTTTATATTCATACAGAACAAGACTATACAACTTTAATATTTTTATTCTAGGTTTTAATGTTGAAACAGTAGAATACAAGAATTTGAAGTTTACTATTTGGGATGTAGGAGGGAAGCACAAATTGAGGCCCTTGTGGAAGCATTATTATCTCAATACACAAGGTGAGACTAGTACAACTTTTAAACTGTATTTTGTCCACTAGCTTGTATTTTGGAGCTAAAAGATTATTAATAGAAATAATTTATAACTGTAAAAATTGTTCATGCAATGCAAAGTCCAGCTGCTAGATTCATGAGCTAAAAAATTTTAATCCAGTTGATCATAATGTCTGCTGCATGATAAAGGTGCATTCTCCATAAATCCATCAGACAGCTCATGGAGCCAAACAAAATTAGAATCTCAGTTCTAGCTGACAGCAGACAAGGTGCAGTGTTCCAAAGTTCACATAGTGAGAAGTAGTACTTGCCAGGTATGAAATTTAAATAGCACTTGAAATGAAAATACTCAGCCTTTAGGAGCCTTTAGTTGGCTGCTTGAAACATTCCACAAAGTTCTGTAACTTCTGACTTGGTATTGCAGTGTAATGTCTGGTCATAGACTAGATTACTGACCCTGAAAACATTGACCTGAGTGGTGTCGACTTGGAAATTGATGCCATCCTTCTGTAAATCCTCCAGTTATTTTCCAGTTTAGAAGGGGGTTTCGCTTCATTAATTTATTCCAAATTGTCTGAAATACTTAGGAATGACAAACATCAGTTTATGTGCTCTTCTTTGTGCATTATTTCAGTCTTCATTACAAAATTTAACATTTTAAATTGTTTGTCTTTTCAAACTTTTAAACATCATATTTCGGGATTTCTGTTGTCCTCTTAAATCTTACCATGTAAACACCAGTAGCATGGAATCATGCCAGCCTTGAAGAATTGCATGTTGGAAAGTCTAATCAGTTAACTTGGTGCATAGCTGCAGTAAGTTTTGTTTAGTTTTGGAGTAGGGGGGGGTTTCATTGCAAAAACCATGAGTTGAAATTCTGTCCTCTAGCTCTGTCTCCAGGACTCTTCAGTCTTTCTGGCATCTTGGTTACGCTCTGTTGTGGATAGTAAAATCTGCTGCTGCTGTGTTGGGTCTTCTCTGGATTGTGTAGGCTGTGGCTGAAGGAAGCTGTGCGGATTTGGCTGAACCTGTAGGTTTTACAGCCAGTTAAGGGTAACTGGAACAGTCACATGGGAGTTGATTGAGTAGAAATGGATCACGAAATGGTTTAAACTGAGATACTCAATCCACACATAGTAAATCTGGTTTTAGACCCAAGCAGTTAAAGTGTCACAGCCTTTGTATAAGACTAGGCAAAAAACTTCAGAATTTTTTCCATGGTTTAGGATGAATTGTAGATTTTTGTCAAAGGTGTAGAGGTATGTAGGGCATTTCTCACTCCTCCTGGATTTGAAATTGAAGTTGCGCGCTGCTGAGAAACCTCACATAGCAGACTGCTAGAAAGAAAGAATTGTGTCAGCTGAAAGCTAATTTTACAGAGTTTATATTAGATGGTGTGTAAAACATTTCTCTCTTTCTTTCACAGCGGTGGTGTTTGTAGTTGATAGCAGTCACAGAGACAGGGTCGGTGAAGCACACAGTGAACTTGCAAAATTACTAACGGAGAAGGAATTGCGGGATGCCTTGCTCTTGATCTTTGCTAATAAGCAGGTACGTGTAATTTTTTTCACTCTGTTACTCTTTTCCTTAGTTTTTGTATCAAATTCCAATTTTCTGAACCCTCTGGGTAGGGAATGGTAATGTGGAAAGGCTAAAATGTAGATGTTTTCCTTATGTTTAATGCTGGTAAAATAAGTGGTGCTAGAGTGCTTAGAAGATTCAACAACCAGTTGTTGCGTTATGGTAACAAGGAGTAAATGTGTAACTGTTTCATTTGATTTTTGTGTTTGGAAAGATTTCACGTGATCCGTAGCTTCAGTCTAAGCTATCAGTTAAAAATAAAGTACTTCAAGTATAATACAGAAGAATAATCGAGTCTTTGTATCTGGCTCTGTTGCAGGATGTAGCAGGTGCACTTTCAGTGGAAGAAATCACGGAACTGCTGAGTCTCCACAAGCTCTGCTGTGGCCGTAGCTGGTATATTCAGGGTTGTGATGCCCGAAGTGGTACAGGACTTTATGAAGGATTGGACTGGCTTTCAAGGCAGTTAGTGGCTGCTGGTGTCCTGGATGTGGCTTAAGTTTACAGCAGCTGCAATTTAAGGATGTAGTTTACTGTTGTGTTTTGTTTGCACGATTAGGATGTTGTAGCCAGGTCTGCTGTCTGAAGAGGGGGTTTTATTTAACTTGGTGGTTACAGAAAAATATAAGCCTTTATCCTAGATTGGATAATAGGTTCAGTAAACTTGTGCAGTTAATAGCGGGTTTGAAATTTGGTATATTTACAAGTAATGGGATGGGCTAGTTACAGGGGTGCCTTGTAATTCTTTTTGGTGAAATTTGATTGTTATAATTTAAAATTCTTCCCTGATTAAAAAAAAAAAAAAAGCATTGGAATTCATCTGATGATTTTAACAAGGTTACAGTACTTCATTGGTGTCAGAAAAAGTTTGAAATACTTTCCCAGGAAAATATTCCAAAAATCCATCTCAAGTTATTAGAATAGCCAGCTCTGTCTATTAGTCAGAAAGAAATGGTGCTACTCTTTAAAGAATGCATTCAGTTAAAGGTGGCATTGAAAATTACATGCAAATACACCACAAAAAGTAAATGTTTCCCCCATTATTTGTTGGATTTCCTGTTGATTACCAGAAGGCAGCGTAACTTGGCAAAGAAAACTGAGAATGGGGAACCAGTGTTGCAGGGCTAAGAATTGGTGGCATTGTTTAGCTAGTTGTTTTCTAGCTGGGGGGAAGGGTTAGTTGGTTGGTTTTTTTGTTAATTGCACACATGCTAAATTATTTATGGACAGACTACAATGATATTGAGGTGAAAGTGTTTCATGCGTGCTTGGGGACCTAGTCTGCCTTCAGAAATTAAGCTTATCCTCAAGAAGTCAATGAAGGTCAAAAAGAAAAACGACCATACTTAAAAGAAGTAGTGCAGTGTAATGTCAATCCAGCTGTGTACTTCATGTAGAAGTCATGTTTCCAGATTAAGGTAGTGGCCTTAAAATACTAAATAACACAATGTAAAAGCAGTGTACACTAATTATAACTTTTACGTAGAAGAGCAGATGGTAAAATGTGATATAAACCTTCCATAATTAGATTTTCAATTCTCGCTGTACTTTCTACATGGAACTGTCACCGATGCCTCTATTTTCGAAGATTACTCATGCACAAACCCATGAAATATGGGTGTAGCACTGTTTAAATTTAGAGAAGGTCGCAACGACTTAGTGGTGTCTCTTTTTCTGCTGCTCATGTAACTCTGCTAACAATTTTACCTGTCTGATACGCGCAGCAGAATCATCTGGCCTCCTCTTTAAGTGCACACTATTACCAGTTGAAGAAGCCATGCCATGGGCCTCTTCCTGTTGGTAGAGGAGTTACAAAGGGCACGGCCAATAGCTCGAAACTGCTTATTGTCACTTTTCTTACTGGAGTAGGGGTGAATGGGAAGAACCAGAGAGTGGACGTGAGCAGTTGTTTCACAATGGGTAGGTATTTTTGCCACTCTGAAAAGTGTCTTTACCTGTGAGAATTCTGAACCTCACCTGGCAAAGAACATGTATCTGTGGCTATGGCTTTTATTGAAATATTACTGATTTTATGTTGTTTTCCCACTACATACCTTAGGTAAAGCCAAGAATGTATAAACAAATAATTTAGTACATTTGCACTTTTCTTCAAGAGGAAGCAGTTAAGGTAGCAGTTAACTACTGCCTCATAATGACACTTATTTGTAGTTTTCTCTTGTTCCTTAAATTTTATGTAAATGGTGTTAAATGCAGCTTCAGTTTCAGCAAGTCTAATGACTTGAACAGTAGCTGGAAGAACACTAAGCTTTAAAGTAGTGAAATGTTTGTGAAATGGGCTTCAATGCCTACCTGTGTATGTAAGTTACTGAGAAAGGGGTATTTAGTCTTTCTTCAGTCAACCTGATAGATTTGGGAACAGTTTACAGCAGAGTGAAGGGTGCTTTCTTGCACCTACCGACTAGAAATGGTTGGTCCTTCCCAGCCTGTGACGTCTTGCGCGCTGGACAGTCGGCTGCCTGACCTGAGCATCTGAACTGCAGAGCGGTCCCAGACCTCGTTGAGGCTGACTGTCCCTTCGTAGCTCTCTTTGAAAAATTTGAACAAGTTCTGCTAAGCATGGTAGATACCTTTTCCTAGAATATTTTTAACAGAGAAGACATGTATTCTTTAGAAAAATCCCACTTCTGCACTATTATTTTAGCTGGCTTATGCTTCAGTTACACATGCCTCTCAGTACAGTTCTGCTTTAAAATGCTCAAGGTGACCAGTTTGGATTTTTCGTAACATTACATTTGAGGGCAGAGTAAAAAGTCTCATTCGTGCATATTTTTGAGTACAAAGGATTGCTTGTGACACATGGAATGCTACCATAAAAGTGTTTTTAAATGGAATTTATTTAAGATGACTTGAAGTAACTGTGAAAGTGTTGCATTTGTCTGTGAACTCTTCAGTGTAAACAGGTACACTAAGAGGTTTATTTGTATTATACATCAATACTACATATAAACTGCTACTGTTATAAATCTAAGCTTGTTTTACTGAACTTTAGGTTTTAGTGTGCTGAATTATGCAATATGTAATCGGACTATTTTCTCAACTAGAACTCACTCAAACATTACTAACTATGGGGATTATTTGAAAAGACCAAGTAACTTTTCATAGAATTTTGACTTATTTGTGAAATGGAGTAAATACAACATCCAGTGACTGTGTTGTGGCTTTCTTTAAAGAATCTCAGCTCAAAAATAGTATGTCTAGGCTAACTGAAAAATAATGTTTTATCACTTGATATGGTCTTACTCTGTGCTACTTTCAAATTTATTGTGGACTATGTGATACACGAGGGTTTTATTCTGAAATAGTCCTTATTCTTAACTGTTGGAGTAGGTGTGGATGTTATGTAAAGATTTCTTGAAAGAAAGGTCTCTTTTAGTGGAAACAGTTCATGAGCTGCTGCAGTTTGAGTTGCCCAGAAAATGAATTCTTTTCAATAAAAGTATCTGAAACTTTGAGAATTGATTTTAATAAACTTGCCTTTTTTTTGTTGTTGTTGTTAATGTCATCTCAGAATAGAGGTGTGCTACCTTTAACTTACTGTAGAATTTTTCTTTTTGATCCTTGAAGGTATCCCTTTATCTCACTGAAGATAAGCTTCCTGGTAGTAGCAGCTTCTGGGGGATTAGCATGCATCACACCTCATTTCATGAGCAAAGTTGCCAGAACTGTAAATTCCTGAGTCTTGTATGAGTGCAGTGGTGTCAGGTGAACATAAACACCCAAAGTTAATTTTACTGTATTTAGGGTAGACTCAATTATCCATCATAGTAACAGGGCCATATGTAGCCACAGATTCACGTCAACTTGAGAAGTACAAGCTTTCATTGAGGACTCTGTCCAAAACACCTGTTGTAAGCTTACATTCCCATCATTTCATTTAGTGGTGTTTATAGGACCTTGGGTAAAAATGAGGCTGGAAACACACTCCCTAGGCTAAAATAATGAGAAAGGAAACATAGAAAGAAAAAAACATTATTGGCAATGCCAAACACATTGCACCGGACTTTGTATGCTGGCATTCCAAGAGTTGGTCATTGCTCTTAGACACAGAAGATACCTACACAACCATTTTTAAAGGACAAGAGGTAGATTACACATCTTGTTATAGCAAACTATCATAACAATGTAACTTTTGATGCATGTATCTGTGATGAAATAGTTTGCTCAGCTTAGGATTTCTGACCTTTTGCTCTGTCAAGAATTTCAATATCATGAAAAGAATTAATTAGATATGGAAGAAGCAAATAAATATGAGAAAGTTACAAACTATACCCTGATCCTATTTTATAAACACTATCATGAGACATGGTGTGGGTTTGTATCTTCAGTTTTGCATAGAAGAGATGCAAGAAAAACAGTAGACTTTTCTAGAAACATGCAGGTGTTTTTACTTTAAAATACAAAGTTACCAGAAATACAGACTCAGGGCACTTTAGGTACATTAAAAATAGGAAAACTGGTGATTGCTTTGTCTAGGAATTACCAACAGTGTTTCTGTTTCAAGGTCCCTTTTTGGGTTCCACCATGCCAAGGTTTTTTTGCGTAAGCTGGAACCTTCAACTCCTTGCTTACTTCACTGTGATATTAATGATGCTGATATCTTCATAGGGTTTGTCGGTTTTGGGATTGACTTTTACATTTGAGATTCTCTGAACGACTTCCATTCCTTTAGTCACCCGTCCAAACACACTGTGCTTGTTGTCTAGCCACGGCTGTTTGAGGCCAGGAGAAAGAAAAAGCATATTAAAGTAAAAAGCAGCATACAGAATAAAGTAAAATAGAAAGCAACCCGGAAAGAGACTGAATAAGTGAACATGAATGCATTTTATTATGTTCAGGCTATGAAACTTAGGTGGCTAATAGATATTCATATGCGTGTAAATTCATCATTTTCCAATTGTCTTCTAAAGTACTACAGAGATCAAGTTCTAGCAATGCAGTAGCATTTCCTAGTTTATTTTAAAGTGTATTCTGTTCACAGAAATGCTGTTTCAGTCATAGAATCGTCTAGGTTGGAAGGGACCTTGATCATCTAGTCCGACCATCAACCTAACTCTGACAAAAAAATAAATAAGAAATAGGAAATAAAAATTACTAAACCATATTCCTGAGGACCATGTCTACCCATCTTTTGAACACCTCCAGGGATGGTGCCTCAACCACTTCCCGGGGCAGCCCATTCCAATGCTGGATAACCCTTTCCATGAAGAAATGTTTCCTAATATCCAATCCGAACCTCCCCTGGCGCGACTTGAGGCCATTTCCCCTTGTCCTATCTCCTGTGACCTGGGAGAAGTGACCGACCCCCACCTCTCTACACCCCCCCTTCAGGTAGTTGTAGAGAGCGATAAGGTCTCCCCTCAGTCTCCTCTTCTCCAGACTGAACAACCCCAGCTCCCTCAGCCTCTCCTCAGAAGACTTGTGCTCCAGACCCCTCACCAGCTTCATTGCCCTTCTCTGCACCCGCTCCAGCACCTCAATGTCTTTTTTGTGGTGAGGGGCCCAAAACTGGACACAGTACTCGAGGTGGGGCCTCACCAGTGCCCAGTACAGGGGGATGATCACCTCTCGGGTCCTACTCACCACGCTGTTCCTGATACAGGCCAGGATACCATTGGCCTTCTTGGCCACCTGGGCACACTGCTGGCTCATGTTCAGCCTGCTGGTCATGCAGCCTGCTGTCAACCAACACCATCTCTATTTGATGGTATTTTCACAGCTGAATTCTAAGTGCCAGTCCAGAATTTGACTTAATTCAAAGTCAATACAGTAAGCCCAATTAGCAATCTGAATATAAGGACTGATATAACTTTGTAAGCTTCAAGACTACGGTAGATGGGTGCTTTTTAAAAAAAATAAAATACGAGATTTTGAAAAAAGTACTAGATGAACGTAGTTTCTGTGTTACATTGTATCTGTTAGACACATATACCAAAATTTCTTTTTTTGGCTCTGAAATTGTACACAGATCTAAAGAAATCTTCAAACCTGAATACTGGTTTCCTTGCAATATTAAGGAGTCATCCTGGTACCATATCAAAAAACTTAAAACATTTTAAGCAATAGCTCGATTTCCATCAAGTTTAAGCCAGTACACTAATGAAAAATACTCCAGTAATAACAGTTGCAAACATGTCTGATTTACTATATACCGCCTGGAGAAGAGAAGGCTCCAGGGAGACTTTGTAGCAGCCTTCCAGTACCCAAAGGGGGCCTACAGGAAAGGTGAGGAGGGACTCTTTATCAGAGAGTGCAGTGACAGGATGAGGGGTAACGGTTGCAAACTGAAAGAGGGGAGATTTATATTAGATATTAGGAAGAAATTCCTTACTGTGAGGGTGGTGAGACACTGGAAGAGGGTGCCCAGGGAAGTTGTGGATGCCCTGTCCCTGGAAATGTCCAAGGCCAGGCTGGATGGGGCTTTGAGCAGTTTGGTCTAGGGGAAGGTGTCCCTGCTCAGGTCAGGGGGGTTGGAACTCAATGATCTTTAAGGTCCCTTCCAACCTGAACCATTCAATGATTCTTAGTCCAATTAACAGCAAAAAGCATCCTGATCACAACTTACAAAAATACTTCTCTATTTCTTGAAGGACTGTTTCAGTGAAGCCTACACAGTATATACTGTGTGCAGCATTTGTTTGCATGATAAAAAGATTATTTAGATAGAATTGTGTTCCTTTTTCCATCAGAAAAAATACATATTTTTACTACTTAGTTAGAAATCAGGACTTAAATTGAACTTTATTACTTACGGTTGGCACTACTGTTATAAAAAACTGGGATCCATTGGTATTTGGTCCTGCATTAGCCATGCTAAGTGTGTAGGGTCTGTCATGTCGTAAAGTGGAATGAAACTCATCTTCAAATTCTCCTCCCCAAATACTTTCACCTCCCATTCCCGTACCAGTTGGGTCACCAGTCTGAATCATGAATCCCTGCATAGAAATTAAGTATTATTTTATCATCACATAGAATAAATAAACAAAAATGTTTTATGCCAGGTGACATTTTTTCAAACTTACTTCAAATCTTTCAACAAAATATAAGTGTTAAAATGCTGTGGAAAAGGGACACAGCATTCTTTAACTGACAATCAAGTACTTGTGAAAAAACAAGCCTACTCACTGTTCCTCCTAGTGAAGAATGAGAACCCTGACTATCTGTACCCTCTGCAATAACTTAGGCCGTATCAGCCTGATTCTGATGCAACAGAAGTAAGAAGCCTTATAATAAATGTCTTATGACATAAAACAAAGTCTTAATTCAAGCAGGACTTGAATTAATCTTTGTCTTAATTTTCAGTTTTCTTCCACCTTGTCAGTTGCAGAACAACTATTAAAACAACTTCAGGTAGTGATAAAGCTGTTTAGAACCTCAGAGTTGTTCAGACTTTACAGAGAGCTCTGAAGCCATTCCAGAAATTTTCTGTACAAAATGGAAACTGTTAACACAGAGGACTGACCTCAAAAGTACATTATCTAAACCAACAAAAACTTAGCGTTTTACAAATTACCTTGATGATACGGTGAAATATGTGTCCGTTATAGTAACCATTTCTGCTGTGCACACAGAAGTTTTCCACTGTTTTGGGGCACCTGAAATTGCGCAACAGAAAATACAGACTACAGTAAGTATTTAACTGTATGGTGGCAAAGCCATCAAGATTTCAGCTAAGATCCTGCTGTACTGAGCAGCATTTCAGCACACTGTAGAATGCACTTTTATCAAATAAGGAGAAAAAATCCCCACCTCCTGAAACCCAGAGCTGCAAGAAAAAAAGTTTTGGGTACAAGGTTGCATGATTACAGAGGAAGGCAGCAGCAGTGTTGCTACCACAGGGGTATTTTAGTTATTGCTGAGCAGTGCTCACACACTCTGCTCCTCACACCTCCCAGCCAGCGAGCAGGCTGTGAGTGCACAAGAATTTGTGAGGAGATACAGCCGGGACAGCTGACCCCAACTGACCCCAGGGATATTCCACACCATATGGCATCGTGCTCAGCATATAAAGGTGAGGGAAGAAGGAGGAAGGGGTTGGGGGGGAACACGTTCAGAGTGATGGTGTTTGCCTTCCCAAGTAACCATTATGGGTGATGAAGCCCTAATTTCCTGGAGATGGATGAACACCTGCCTGCCCATGGGAAGCAGTGAATTAATTCCTTCTTTTGCTTTGCTTGTGTGTAGCTTTTCCTTCACTTATTAAACTGTCTTGATCTCAGTCCACGGGTTTTCTCACTTTTGCCCTTGCAAGTCTCTCCCCCATCCCACTGTGGGGGGACATAAGCAAGCTGCTGTGTGGGGCTTCATTGCCAGCTGGGGTTAAACCGTGACAGCCAAGAAATAAATCTGTTCTTCAAAGCCTAGTTCAAGGCACCACAGATTAGATGTTCCTTCCCCAGCTTTCTGCTTACATGGTTTATTTACAAAATCAATTAAGGAGTGTATGCTCCACAAGCAGAAAGTAGTTGACTCTTTTATCTCTCTAATTCTATTAAGCTATCTATGTAAGGTGTCCAGCGTTGCATACAAGAAATAAAATCTGAAAAAAACAGTGTTTTAGTATTATAGAACTTGCAGTCAGCAGAGTCAGTTATCCTTCTCTGAAACTACTCACAACCATCATTTGGAAGCAGGGAAAAAAAAAAAAACAACCAACCAACCCCTTTCACCTTTGTGACTTGATTTTTTACTTGAGAGATTTGCTACCAGAATGAAAATTCTTTACAACAGCTCTTCCACTAGTTTTATAAAACGGATTAGTAGCCAGGGTAGATCTCCACTCAGAGGTTTACACAGTCCCACACATATTCCCAGCAAATGAGAAAACAGCCAAGTTGAATCCATAGCTGTAGAGTTGATTCAGCTGTGACAAGGAACATTAGCTTAGGCTTAGTGATGTTCCAAACCACCTTGTGAAACACAGTGCTAATGGCGTAACTAACAGGAGAGACAAGATGATAGTCCTGGTTCCTGCTGGGTGGCACATACTCATTCACAACTTCATTTCATGAACAAGTGGCCAAAGAGTTAAAGGGCACACAAAGCCACATCCTATATGCTCCTCTTTAATTTTTTTAATTACATCTATCTTAAAGAGATTTTAAATTCAAATCTCAGCTGGGAGGAAACACTAGAACAAGAAATCACAAACCTAACAATAACCAAGCCTAGTAATACTGTATTTAATTTAAAATTGCATACAAAACATTGCAGTGAAGCACCTAGCAATATCATGCATGCAAATATAGTGACACACTGGCAAGAGAATTTAAAAAAAGTATGTCAGAAATAATGTAGCTTGGCCAGTCACTCATTGGTAAGGGCTCTACTGTCACTGCTACCTATAGGCTACAATGGGGAACTCCAGAAACTAGGGCCTGGTGCAAGATGTTGGTGAAGAGAGCAATGACAGACTAGCAGCCTGAGAATTGAGGTTGTGTTACCTTACTGGCACTTATGACACAACATAAACTTGTTTTTGGAGAAGCATGGACTACATTTAAATGGTTTACGCTTCAATGCATAGCAATATATACATAATATTATATAAATTTACTGTTTCATAACAAAATCTTTGCATATATTAGCATTACAAAAGAAGAGATACTGACATAGTAACTTTAGCAATTGTCACAATAGAACACTTTTTCAATTATATGCCTGGTTTTGGATATCCACAGTGGCATACATTTTATGTTGCTCTTGAAGGAGCTGCAGTAATATAAAGTGTAGTACAATGGCCACATTTGGAAATTTCAAACTGTACTGTTCCTCTGGCTCACACAGAACTATTGCAAAATCTACTGCTGCTGCCAGCATCATCATTCTTTTTCAAGATGGAATCAAACAGCACTGCCTTACAAGAATGTGTAGCTCACTCAGAAGAGCATCATGACCTATCCACATCTGCAGTTTAGAGAAAGAACAGAATAAAATAAACCCCCCCAACCAATAATTAAAGCAAAAATAATAATAATGATAAAAACCAACAACTAACCAAATGTGCCCCACCTATTATTTAGACCTATTTTTACCCTACTTCACTTGTGTTTGTCAGTCATGTTCCTAGCTTGATGTATTAAGAAACTGTCAGCAAGCAAGGAACGAGTAGAAAACGGGGAAGAAAATAACTATTCCTAACTTGAAATGTAAGTCTTGGATACTGCCACCAAAAGGCACAGAAGGAAGGAAAACTGAAATAACAGAAAAACTACAAATACGTACTCAACAGGAAAAAGCTTGATATGAATATCTCCCATGCTTGTGTGGATGATGGCGCTGTCTGAAACTCTTTTGGGACCTTCTGCCTGAGTGGCTGCCATGACCTCTTCTTTAGAAGGTTTCTCATTAAATACATCTCTGTCAGAATCTGCACTCTTCGTATCTTCTGGCTCACGTTTAGTAAACTGAAGAACAAAAGAACAGAAGGTTAACTCTTTGGTTTTCTCTTTTTTTCCTTTATCTTAGACACCACTCTGCACCCAAGACATCAATGTGATTATTCAACCTGCTAAACACTCCACTGGATCTGAAATGTAGGGAGAGAATTCACAGACAGTCAGTCTATCCTTGCATTTCAGTGTTGTGCGCTACCAGCATATCCAGTCACAAATTCCAGTACAACTACGTGCAAATCCAAGTAACTTCTTATAAACTGTTATCTTTAAACTTCCTCCCCCTTGCAACACAGTAGTTGATGCAGTAGTTTAGCATATTTTCTTTAAAAACAGTGGAGAATGTGTTTTGTTATATTCATACAGAACTGTTATATTCATCACAAACTTTTAGTTTTGCTACAAAGTCAAACTAAATCCTTATTCCAATACTGCATTAATACAAAACTATAGAAAACCAGCAAATTTAACTCAGAACAGGAAAAATCTCAGAAATGTAATTTTTACCGTACTTACAGGAAAACACAGAATAAATACATGAATACACAAGCATCCACTTAGGTGAGTAGAACACTTTCATATCAAATGACAATTGCTAATCGTTCTGCACACATATAGTCACGTTTTCTCTAACGGTGAGTAACATTTCCAGGCTTTGTCTGACTTTTCCTCCTCACTTGTAAATCGTTCAGAGTGACATAATCCCCTATATACTACACACTAACCACACAAAACTTCAGAAAGTATACTGTCTCGGTCCAATAGAAAACACAATCAAGCTCAAGCACGAGTATCACCAGACAGACTGATCTCTAACCTCCACGGTGATCACATCCCAGATCAACTACTGACTACTCTAGAATTGCTCGTCTCTTTGGCTTATTCATTGCATCTCACCTAAAATCTAAACAGTGCACAGGAAGATGATTCCTGTCTTAGTTGCCCCTAAGGTACTTAGTGCTACTGAGTCCCGATGATGCTCTGAATTTAATTATTTTGTATTACATATTTTATACAGCTAATTATTGTTTCTTTATTAATATAAGATCTGGTTAGGTTTTTAAACCATTCTTACTTAAGGGTTTGGGTTTTTTCTCAACTAGAACAAAAGCCGTTCTTGGAGAACTATAATTTAGACAGCCCAAACCACCCAAGTTTATGAAACTGTTTGAGCAATAATGAAAAAATTAAAGCTGTTTTGACTGAATTTATAGATAGTTCAAACTAAAAATTCTAGAATATACTTGCAATATAAAGGGACTCCTCTGGAAAAGTTGTGTTCGCAAATACTCAAGACAAAAAGCACTGGAAAGGCGGCAAGAAAAACAAAAAATAATGCAGATAAAACATCAATACAAGAATGGAGTTATTTAAATAGAAACCACACACACCATGTAAAACCTATTTTTTTTAAAAGCTGTGCAGATTACTGTCGGATCTGCCTGGATATTCTGGAGAACAGGATTTTCAGATGCCTTCATCTCTATAGTGATTGCAGCACGATGTTTCTTTGCTACTCCTTGGAACAAAGCCAGTTGCATCATTCTGATGTTCTCTTGTTTTCCCAAGATACGAACACACCTGAAGTACAAGATGTAAAAAGGTGTAACTACTGTTAGCTGCTCACAGTCAGAGAATGTCTCCTTCCTGACTGCAGGACTCAAAGCAAAATTCCAAAACCCTTTCAAAATATTTCTTTACTAGTTGTTTTTATGATGCTTCTCTATTCAAACTTGCTACATAATTTACTAGGCAGCCTCCTTAAATGACAAAATCCCAACTGCATGATCCACATTTACTTTACTTTATCACATCTAGTTAGCCAGAGATGAATTAATGACACATTTTTTAATAAAAATATGTTTGCCATGTTTTCTCCTCACTTTACTAAGCTTTAAACTGCAACTGCTCATTATGAAGGATGGCATTATTTTACCTACAGTCTAATGCAAGGCTCCCAAACAATAACAACAAAAAAAGATTAAAGTCCCCCACAGTCATGTCAAGTTTTAAATATACTACAAATTTGACTAAATATAGGCTTCGAAACAACATGTTTATCTCAATGTGTGTCACTGGAACTTACCTGTTAGTCTCTACATTTATGACCTTAATCCCCAACATTGTTCCATAGAGAACGAAGTGTCCAGTTTCATCAAAAATTATGTTAATTAATCTTACTGCATCCACTTTCTCCAGCTCACGCTCAACTGCCATACGTCGGCCGAACTCCATGTCTGGTAGTTGCTGTCTCATCTGCTGAAGTTCAGTAAACATCTACAGAAAAAAAAAAAAAAGAAAAAAATCACTATTATATGAACATACTGTAAACTTTTGATCCAGCAAAACATGGATCCACATGCTTAGAAAATAAAAAATTCAAGTGAGACTGCTCCACTTAACCAAAGAACTAAATAAAATACATTAAAGTGATACCCTATTTTAACAACCCAAAAGGCATGTTGCAGTACCAGACTTAAGCAAAGAAAGAAAAGCGTGTAGCTTCTAACAAATTTCTTAGAAGATGACAGATGTAATTGATTATTATGATGTTATTTGAATTGGGCATTTTCCACAATTTCTATGTAGTAAAAGGTAATCTATCAGTATCAACACACACATGAAAATCAACAACTCAGTTTCACTACATAACTAATATAAATCAGTAAGACTTAGTTTTGGAGTAAAGCAATACAAGAGGCAAGGAAGAGAGTATGGAAAACCTTTTCTGAAATAAAAATACAGCAAAAAATATAGTGTTAGAAGCACGTAACTTAGGTGTACATGCTGGTAAATAAATTCAAGTAAGTACAGAAAACATGCCAAAAAAAGAGAAGTAAGACCAAACTCACACTCAGAGATTCATCAAAGACTCTCATGAGCTTCCCCGTCAAAAACCGGAAAATTCTAACTTTTCTGTCAGACCCAAGAGTGGCCATTTTCTTGCCATCAGGTGAAAAACTTATACTGGATGGGTAAGCCTTGCATTTAGCAAATTCGTATAAATCAGTGTCTGTTTTATATTCCCAGTTAACATTCTTGGGAAATTTATATTCATGTGGAGTACCAGTCCAGTACTCAATCATTCCAGATTTGTCAGAAGACACTACTACTTTGTAGACAGGGTTCAACCGTATCTGAGTAAGAGAGGATGTATGAAGTTTATCAAAAACATGAAGTGGCTGGTTATTTCCTCGTCCATCATAGATGAATATTTTTCCTGTGCTCTTCTCAGACGTTGCAACAGAAGATATGGCATCTCCAGGGCAATATACCCATTCACACTGGCCAGGGTAGTAGCTGCAACAAAAAGTAGAAGGGGAAAACAAAAAAACAAGAAGAAAAAAAAAAAGGACTGGTGTTACTTAGGTAAGAATCAAGTTATGCTAGAAACTTGAAATCAAATATCAGAAGCAAATTTTGAACTTTATTAACTAGTCTTGCTAATATTTTTGTTGCTGAAATACAACTGTGTTATAATCAAGCTTTTCCAAGCAACACAATTAATTGGATGGCTTGGCCAATTTCTGTTGCTCCCATATTGTTTTATAAAGAGGCTGTGATAGAAAGCAAAGGTAGAAGGCGGGTAAAAAAGAAAAGTAAGGCTGAAAATCCAGCTAAATAGCACAAGTGGCATTAATGATTACTACTGAACTTCGGTAACTCAATAGCACTTCTCTTTCATCTCTTAAGAGATTAATGCTTCAGTGGAAACGAAGACAACTACACCTTTGTCATACACTTACAGAAACAATAAACTAGGTCTTGCCAAAAAGAAAAAAAAACACAAACCAAAACCAAAAAGTGATAGAAGTAAAATTAAGACAATCACTCTATATTCAGCAAGTGTTCTGAATGCATTTAAGAAGGAACTAATTTATTACAAGTAAAAACGTACTCTACAAACAAAGCAAGCCAGAGATAGGGTCAACAATGTCAGTTATGTCTGTTTTTAAAAAAAATCTGTAAGCAAAGATTTTGAGAACCAGAACTCAGAAACTAAATGGCAGACGACAAAGAAATGATACAGCCTCCACAGAAAACTCTCATTTAGTATCCTTTCACAAATCAAACTAGCAGATACTGAAGGGCTGAAAATTACAGACACTAGTAATTTGGATTTTCAATGCCTGTCTGGTAAAGATTCTTATAAAGAGAAACATAACCAGAACTTTGTCTCAGGTTCACTAGAAAGAATAGGATCAAATAAATGCATAAATAAATAAATACGATGTCCCATTGATGATGCATCATTTTCCAAAGTTTCTGCAGAAATAACCACCCTTCTCCATACCACTAATGGAATACTGTATAGATTAGTCAGAACTGAAAGGATCTGCAGAACTGGAGACAAACCTAATCAACCCTGCAATATACTGGCATACGCCTACCAAAGCAGGCAACACAAGATAATCTGAACTGAAAAGACCACACAAAACTTATGACTTGGCATTAACCACTGCAAGTCTTAGCAAACAGCCATGAAAAAAAAAATCCTCAGGCAGGTCAACAAAACTATCTGTTCAATAAACAGTAATGCAGAAGATAAAACTTTTAAAATATTTGTTGCTCTAAGTTTTAAAACACTTTTTAAGTTTTAAAAGGTTATTCAGGATAGTGCTGATATTACAGCCATATACTGTTCTTTTCTTCATTAAAGACTTCACTTCGGGTATGTATGAAAAAAAAAATATAGGGGAGAGGAAGCTCTCAATTACTGACGTTAACAAAAAAAAAAACAACCTATTTGAAGATAAAGCAGGAAACATACTATAGAAAAATATTATAGGTAGCATTCTCAGGGTATCCCTGAAGCAAAACCGATTTAAATTCTACCACAGTCTTCCCTACTCTCAAATAGGAAAAAAGCACCTTCTATTGTGACATCAAATTAAGTTTTTCTTATTAATATTAATAATAAATTAATTTTATTTCATCCTACAATTTTACCAAAATACAGGGGTGCTAAGCAGATAACACCAGGAAAAACAAGACTAAGGCTAACTGGAATTTTTCCACAGCAGACAGCCAAGAAGGAATGAATTCTGATAGACAAAGTACATAATCTAGAGGACGATACTAAGCTATAACCAGCAAAGCAGGTAACATAAGGTTTTATATAGGCACCCCTTGTAATAGCACAGGTCTTGTTTACCTCTGGCATTGTTGTAAAAGTCCAATAACATACATTCCTATTTCTCCAAGATTCTTTAGCTGCACACCGTGTAAGAAATCCTACCACGGCAAGACTAAGGAAAAGAGCATTCCTTCTAACAGAAGGAGGAAATTTCTATCCCTACGACAATACATATAGACCAAACTCCTTCTCTGTTGGAACTGTTAGTTGGGTATAATTTTTAAACTCAGTGCCAAGCAACAGGAAAAAAAATAATGCCTAAGTATTTCAAGAAACACCACATCTTTGTGCATATTTGACAACGAGGAAAGGCACAAATCTACTCCACTTGTGTCCTGTTGTAAAAAAGTCACAGATTTTTCTATTCAGTCTGGCAGTCTCCAGCCACTGGATGCAGTTTGGATAATGCAACTTAATAACCTTGATCTGACTGGGGGAAAAAGACCCTTAAAACCTACAAACTATTGACTGACCTCTTAGCAAAATAACTCCCATTTACAATCCCAAAGAAACATTTTCAAGAACTAAATAACTTACCCAAGTTTCAGCATGTTAATCATATCAAAGTTGACAACATCAAACACCTTCATGGCTTTGTCGTCTCCAACTGAACAGAATAATGCCCCCTCTGAACTAACAGCAATACTCTCAATAACACCTATTAAAAAAGTTAATTTACTGTTAAGACACAGGAAAAGAGCACCCTTCGTTTCAGTATTCCACAAGAAAAATCCTACAGAGGTTTAACCTGTTCCTCAGCTGTTTCTCCACTTTTTTGACTAAAAAAAACTACCTGACTTCAATTAAAAAACCACCCCAAAAATCCAAAAATCAAAACAGCACTTTGTATCCTGTCACTGTTTATAATCAGGTAAATAATAATGAACATAAACAAAAGATTACAATGGCAATTATTTTCATTTAAAATGGTGATTTAAAAAAATTCAGAACAATATTATGATACGGTAAAAAATTATATGCTCTTCAGCCTGCATCTCTCAAAAAAGGAAAAAGCACTCTACAGTCCTGCTATTACCATACACAACACTCAAAATTACTCTCCAATTGAGCCTTTCATAAGTTTTTCACAATACTTATGCTTTGTTCTCACATTTTGTTTCTGTACATAATGAAGACCTGATAGTTGAGATCAAGAACCCAACAGAACAATTTTTTCTAACTCTACAAAGAAACAGTACTTTTGCTATCTATTTTAAGTATTTTTCTCACTGTAACAGCCTGCATATGAAACTGGTTTTTGCCCCATCAGGCATATCATCACTTCTAATAGCAATGAGAAACTGATTTTCTGTCCATGTTAATGCTTAGCAGAGAACAGAAGAGCTATGTGTACTTACTACCTCAGAAAACTGGGTTAAATTTATTAATTCTTAATTGCTTAAGTCAGCTGATAATCATGACTATGACGCAGAATCAATTCTGCAGCTGCAATAATTCCAGATGAAAATAACAATTTTTTTTCATACTGCAGGGGAAAAAACAAACAAACAAAAAGATAAGGGATGAAAGTAACCTTGCTAAAGTAACATATTTTCAAACTTCTCTGGATTTTATAACCCCATTATGTAACTTGTTCGCTTATTTTTACATAGAAAAATGTAAAAATAAGTCTTCATGTCCTAGACATTCTCTCCACAGATCGGGCATAAGGCAATGCAAAGGATGTAGGAGATCTGTGTAGGAGAAGTCCCACATGTTTTATTCTCACCCTATCCCTCCTGCAGTTTGGGAGCAAAACATAACAGGACAGGAGAATGAAGGAAGACAGGTACATATCATTTAATCCCTGACTGCAGTAAACAAATTCCAGAACCCCCCTCCTCTAGTGTACTCCCTCTTCAAACGACTAAGAGCAAGGGGGAGGAAAAAGTGAGGTCCTTCAGAGAAGAAAAAGCAACTTCTCACCCAGGTGACTCCGGAAGTGTTTAACAAACTCAATCCCTTCTTCTATTTTTTTCCAGAATTTTACATGTCCATCATGACTGGCTGTTATGATAAAATCTGTCCTACAATCACAAAAGAAACAAAACACATATTATGCACTTTCACACCACTCTGCGGCAATAATTTGACCTGTAGTTAACATTGTGCAGAGAATGAACTTTAAACAAATTACTGTAACAACCTGTCTGAACCGGTACTATCACTTCCAGAAAAGAAAACAAGTATTTTAATGACTCTGGATTAATCTACGAAAACTTAACAGTCTGAATTGAAGAAATATATAATACTATCCCTTTTGACTATATAAATTTTACTCCTATTTTAGATCTGCTTTCACAGCAGTTACTATTTACTAATGTGTGTGTGTAAGCTATCTCCTCAATCTGTGCAGTTCTGCTGAACCATATTTTTTAGATGCAGTCAGTTGCTCTTACTTCTGTATATATTGTATATTGCAATAAGGATTTTAAGACCCTCTTTTAGTCTACTTAAACAATTTTTATCTTGTTTCTCAGTAACTCCTTTGTACTTAGTTTAAAAAAACCAACTTAAAATACCACCTTTGGACACATTAACTTCCCATTATTAAAATTCTACAATGAGAACTTCCTAGCATATACAAAAATACGTCTCTGACAAGAAGATACAGTTGGGAAAAAAAGACAGACACTTACTTAGTACATGCTACATGTGTAATGACATCTCTGTGCATGTAACTGCGTTCATACATCGAAGCACACGGTAGATTTTCAAGGTAAACATGTTCAAATTCAAGAACTAAACAGAATAAAAAGAAAAAGCCAGATTATTTTTTTTTTCATAAAGGTACATTTACTTTCTGTTCTCCCTTATTTACCCTTTAAATAGCATACTCCCATTTTAGTCATGAATAAGCTAGGATTTTGTGCAAACATGATAAAAAGGGTTTGCACTGTGACTTTGTACTCAAGACTTACAGATTCTTGGTAGACTAAATGGTCTGAAGCTGCGACAAGGGAGATTCAGATTAGATATTAGGAAGAATTACTTTACTGAGAGAGTGCTCAGGCACTGGAACAGCCTGCCCAGGGAGGTGGTGGAGTCACCATCCCTGGAGGTATTTAAGAAACGTGTAGACATGGCTCTTCAGGGCATGCTCTAGTGCCCAAGATTATTGGTTTGTGGTGGGGTGTTATGTGTGGGGTTGTGGGTGTGGAGTTTAGTTGGTGGGTGGTGTTTTTGGGTTTGTTGTGTGGTTTTTTGTTGGGTTTTTTTTTTGTTTTTTTGTTTAATATGGTTGGACTTGATGATCTCGGAGGTCCCTTCCAACCACTAAGATTCTGTGATTCTGTAATGCCACTCAAATTCCACTTTAGCCCATACAGATGCCTCCTTTTAAAGCAACTACTACTTTGGCTGTCTGAACATATATAAAAAATATTCAATACAACAATTTTTAAGTTACTGACAGAAAACGGAAGTTCACCCGCACCTCATTTTCTTCCAAAACCAAATGTATCTCTGTTACTGTTAAGCAATTTAAGGTCCCACACAGGTACTGCAGCTTAAATTCAAAGTGCTAGCACCTACCCACCTCACTGTTTAACCGCTCCACCTAAAATAACCTGATTTTTTGCTTTTGCCTCTGGTTTTTACATCTTATCTGTTAATACTAATGGCATTTTCTCCTGAACCAGCAGGTATGCATCTGTTGAACACCGTTAGGCTCACAGTTACTTTACAATGCCACCCAGGGAGCCAGATATACCAACACTGTGTCAGAAGCCCAGGGGCTTCTCCTACTCCCCCCAGTATAAGGCAGGGACCCGGCAGCCCCCTGAGCGCCCAGCCGGAAGCACCAGGGCTTCGGCATCGCGGACGCCGCCAAGCGGGGCCTCAGCCCGGGGGTGTCATAGAATCATAGAATCGTCTAGGGTGGAAGAGACCCTTGGGATCATCGAATCCAACCATCTACCCTACTCTACAAAGTCCCCCCCTACACCATGTACCTTAGCATTGTATCTAAACGTCCCTTAAACCCAGCCAGGGATCGTGACTCCAACACCTCCCTGGGCAGCCTGTTCCAATGCCCTATCACTCTTTTGGTGAAAAATTCTTTCCTAATGTTCAATCTAAACCTACCCTGTTGGAGCTTGAAGCCATTCCCTCTCGTTCTGTCACTAATTACCTGTGAGAAGAGACCAGCACCAACCTCTCTACAGCGTCCTTTCACGAAGTTGTAGAGAGTGATGAGGTCTCCCCTCAGCCTCCTCTTCCTCATACTAAACAGTCCCAGCTCCCTCAGCCGCTCCTCATACGATTTGTTTTCCAGCCCCCTCACCAGCTTCGCTGCCCTCCTCTGCACTCGCTCCAGCACCTCGACATCTATCGGTGTCCTACAGAGGCGGCCACCACCACGGTGTCCCCGCCTCATAGTTCAGCCCCCGAGGGGACCCTGCACAGGCCAGCCGTATTAGGTACGAGACACCGATTCAGAGGACGAGCTCCCGGGGCGGGGGTGGCTCCCGGCAAGGCCTGCGGCGGACAGGCGGTTCCCCCCACCCCCGCTCCGGCCCAGCGCCGCTCCTCCCGTTACCTCTCCTCTTTTTCGCCTGCGCGGCCTCCCCCGGCAGCGGCCCGACCCAGCGCTCCTCCTCATCGTCATCCTCATCGTCTGCCGCCGCTGCTGCTGCCGCCGCTACTTCCTCGCTGCCGGCGGCCGCCTCGCTCTGCTTGCGCTTACGCTCCGACTCGGACGACGCCATGCTGCCTGACGTCACCTCCCGGCGACGCTTCCCCGCTCCGCGCCGCTCCCCGTGCAGGGCGCCGGCGGAGTGACGCCATTACGGGGAGGCAGCCAATGAGCGCCGAGCGCGCGCAGAGGAAGAAGGAGAGGCCGGCTGAACCGAGGGGACCCACCATGGTAACGGGCGGGGGGGGCTCTGGCACCGCTCCGCTCCCCTCAGCGCCGACGCCGGCCCGAGGGGGAAAGCCTCCCGGGTTTGGGCGACCGAGGGGAGCAGAGCGTCCGCCGTGGAGCTTGGTAGCCGCGGCGCCCCGGCGGAGGGGCGGTGACGGCCGTTAGGGCCGCGGGGAAGGGAGCAGGCTGGCTGCCGGGCGGCGACCGAGCGGGGAGCGGCTGCCTCTAGCGCCAGCCTGTGAAGAGTAACCGCCTTCCCCACGGCCTCCGGGCTCTGGTGTCGTCCTGGGGTTCTGCGTCAGGGAGAAAGGAAGGCCTGTGGTGGTTCTGGGGGGGTGTCTGTGGCAGGGAGAATGGGGGCTCCTGCTGTAGTCCTCGGGGGAGGGTGTGTGGGGTGTGTCTGGGAGAAAAAGAGCTCCTACTGTACTTCAGGGGTTCTGTGTCAGGCAGAACAGGGGCTCCTTTAGTTCTCCGGTCTGTGTCAGGGGTGCTGTAGTTCTGGCGTCTGCCTAAGGGAGAATGGGGACTCCTGCTGTAGTTCGGGGTTCTGTGTTGGGGAGAATGAGTGCTCCTGTTGTAGTCCTGGGAGTGTGTGTCTGGGAGAACGGGAGCTACTGCTATAGTTCTGGGGGTCTATGTCAGGGAAGATGGGAGCTCCTGCTGTACTACTGGGGTCTGTGTCAGAAAGGAGCTCCTGCTGTAGCACTGGGGTCTATGTCAGAAAGGAGCTCCTGCTGTAGTACTGGGGTCTATGTCAGGGAAAATGGGAGCTCCTGCTGTAGTACTGGGGTCTGTGTCAGAAAGGAGCTCCTGCTGTAGCACTGGGGTCTATGTCAGAAAGGAGCTCCTGCTATAGTTCTGGCGTCTGTATAAGGGAGAGTGGGAGCACCTGCTGTAGTTTGGGAGTCTGTGTTGGGTGGAATGAAGACTCCTGCTGTATTTCTGGGATCTATGACAGGGAGAGTGGGCGCTCCCCTCTCTTTTGCGATGTTGTTTGTATCCTGCTTTTATTCTTCTCCTTCCTAAGGGGAACTCCTGGTTTTCTGTCTCTTGTTTGTTTGTTTCTTTCCCCCTGTCATTTTTCTCAGGACTGTTGTTACTTTCCTTTCTCATCTCTGAATTTCTTTAAGTATTTGGTCAGATTGTATATATTGACATGAAATGTTTCCCATAAAGTTTGCCTATTTGCTTGGTTGGCAGAGAGTCTACAATGCACTCTTGTCCCTTTTTATTCCACCCCAGGACCCCTTACAAATTTCAAAAGGTTATGTCTTCCTCTCTTCCCTTGCCCCCTTCCCCATCCCTTAGCTCTGCTGCTGAGCCTATTTGCTGTGATGAAAATTATCTGTTCAGGCCTTTTGTTTGGTTGGTTTTTGTTTGTTTGCCTCCTTGACAGTTTTTGGTCTGAGAAAAATTACCAGACCATGGCAATCCATATTTTCTTGTGTTGTGTTTTCAGTTATCGGTGCAACAAATTTGCCAGGAAGTCGTAGCAGAAGTATTCCTACCTTTCAGTTCTATAGAATACTTCCAGTGTTCAGTTAGATCACTCTGATCTTTTTCTTAGCCACTCTACCTTGGCATACTTGAACTTTAGAGGTACTAGTAGAATATTTCACTCCTTTTAAATTGTTCAGGTTTTCAATATAATTTTCTCTGATGCTGCGTTTTTGTTCTGAAAATAAACAAAAGGTTGAGTTAGGAATTTGTGCATCATTAAGAAGGCAGAGATATTTACTTCTTCTTTAGATCGCTATTTTTTTTAATGTCTTCTTCATCTCTTAAGTTTTTGGTGGTCTTAGTGATCCATTTAAATATTTAAGATTCGAAATTCAAGTTGTCATAAGGAGAAATAGATTAAGACATTTATTGGAAGGCAGAGCAGAAGTAACTGTGCTTAAGAACTTTGAGATATATGGAAGAAAATTGTGGCTTTGTAGACATGAGATTCTCTTATTGTTTAATACGAATAAAAAACGCCATTGCAGATAAAGCAGTTTTGAAAATTTAGGACTTTGTGATTCAATTTTTAAAAAAAATATTATTAGTGTCTTTAAATTTTACTGTGGTTATACAGTTGACTGATTTTACTGAATGGTTGGGTGCTATCTGGAAATATAGGGGAGTTAACTGAAAGCTTTGGATTCGGAGGTATTGCTCTGTTACATATCTGACCTGAAGTAGCAGGTATGATTCAGTAACCTACAAATAATTATTGTAGATCTACATAACTGTCGTGTTTCCTTGTTAATAGTCTGAGTATTTACCAGAAGTCACCAATAACTGTGTTAGTCCTGAGGATGCCGAGGAAGAACTCTTGAAAGAATGTGAAAGTATTTGGAAGCACATGGAAAAGGTATGCAAATCACAAGTGACAGAATAGATTTGTTGTAAACTTTCCCCAGCATTTGTTTTGTTCATCTCCCCATCCCTCATTGAGTGCTTACTTCACCCCTCCTCCCTGCCAAAGAAACCACAGCAACAACATCAACAAAAAAACTAGAGAGAGAGAGAGAGGAGCAGTGAAGAAAAGAAAGATCTTCAGAAAGGCTGTCTTCAGAACTGCTGGTAGGGGTGAAGAAAGCCTTGCAGTGTCAATCTTTGATTACAGTGTGCTGATGTTATGATTTAGTTATAATAGAATGGGAGTGTTTGTTAGAACTATAGAAAACTAAATAATTGTGTTCTGGTAGTACCAGCAAACTGAGACTTGAGATTCTTTTCTCTTTATCCTCATATTAGGTAAGATTCAACTGCTGTTCACAGTGGTTTGGATCTTAAAGGAGAGAGAGAATGGTAGGAGAAAGTAGCTTCGAAGGAAGATGATGTTAGTGCACACTCATGCAAACTAACAATACATCCTCAAGAATAAATTTTATCTCTCCAGATATACATTCCAATATGCTAATAATATTTTAGAACAAGATATTTTTGCTTACAGGGATCCAAAGAAAGATAAATTTTTACCAGTTCTGAGGGACTGCTGTGCTACACATCCTGTAAGATCCTGCTGAGTCTGATGAAAAGTCATGCACTAAATTTCATTTTGAGAGACTTCATTGCTTCACTTAATTTTGTGTTGTATTTTTATGCTACTTGCTTGAGTTCTGAATTGTATATTCAAAGCATTGATAGTATCAGAAATTAAAGTAAAAATATATTCAAAATTAAAGTAGAACAAAGTGTAGACAACGCACGGTGCAATAATTTTACAGAATTAGATTTAAAAAGACTAATGTGATTCTTATTTGTTGTTACATGTAAATTTCCCTTGAAAAATTGACAAGAGAATTCTGAAGTACTGTAATAAGCGATCAACAGAAATTTTGATTGGTACTACTTCAGAGGATGTGAACTTTCTTTGAAATTTTCAGATTAGAAAGAAAGTTAGAATGTTTGTTATTTTTAATTTAATTGAAAACCTTTGATATCTTGTATCTTGTCTCCAGCATCCCTGAAAAGATAGAGGAAGTGATAATGTGTGCTGTTTTTGGAAGCTGATAAAAAACCAGTATTTTATTCGGTTATGATTATTGCATCCTGGATGCACGCATATTTCAGCAAAAAGTTTAAACAACTAATAGTCATTGAATTAGCTCCTAGGTTATGTGGTTTATGATGTAATGTTCCAATGATTGTGTGTCAGCATTAGCAGTTTTTATTGAAGAAATCCTATATTGTTTTTTGGTTCCTGAATATTAACAGCAAGGTTTCCAAAGTACTGCTTAGTAGTTTCATTGCTTAGTAGACTACATCTTGATCTGTCACTGGCCAGGCTAAACTGCTCACAGTTATAAAACAAGGAGGAGTTTAGCAAGTGTCTCCTACCGAAGCCTTGGATACCTATGCTGGCCTGAATTTCACACTTGATATACATCCCATTGCAGTCATGGGAGCTAAGGTAGTGCACTTCAAAGAATCAGACCATTTCTGAAGTGTATAGCATGTTGCTCTAAATGAGTTAAAACTAAAAATGTGTATTATAATGTGATTGCTCTGTTTGCAGAGCCAGAGCAGTAGCTGCAAGTGTGTTAACTTCGCAGCAGCTTCCCTGTTCAGCCTTGTCCATGACTCTCTCTTCCCAGTTTCTCATGTTCTTCATCTGTTTAGTGTCTTTCCCCATATTAGCTTTTCCCTCATATTGAATCATCTTTTATTTACGGCTACTTTTCAATTAATTGAAGTTCTGTTTTTTTCCTGTGGTATAATTTCAAAATATTTCTTAATTTGCCGTTCTATGTCAGGTTCTGAGGGATGTGGCCAAATCAAAACTCTGTGTTTCCTGTATTAAATTACTTTTGTAATTTTAAAGCATCGTGTTTCTTTGTTGCAAAAGGAAGGAGTAAGTAAGCATTGTTTGTGTTTTGTTTGTTTTCTACCAAGCATCAGAGCAAGCTACTGCTTCTAGGAACGGAAGCAATGTTAGAATCAGATGTCAAGGTAAGACAGTATTTTGTTTTATTTTTTTTTTATTCTCCACAAAATATTTAGTTCTCTGTAAAGATATGATGTGTTTCCAAAAGAAGGAAATTAGATTATCTTCACTCATTCTCCAAAGCTGACAGTTTTGCTCTTACTAACTTCGAAGCTGTATTCTGAGGTATGTATCTATCAAATACTGAAAAGTTGCTCTTATGTGTAGCAAAAAGGTTACACGCAGTCGTGCCGCACATCTGGCAAATTAGTAACATGGGCAGCAAAATGGAGGGGTGTGTAACTTCAATACCTTTGGACTATTTCCTAATCAGTGTGTATGTAATGTGTGGAACTTTATATGGATCCCTTTAGTTTTATTCTGGAACTTTGTATTTGCAAATTACAGTTCCCCCATTTGTGGGTATAATTAGGAAACTGATGTGCTTGAATTAGAAGTGAACTGAGTGATGCTGAGTGCATGAATGTGAGCTCCTGCATACCTCAAATTTTGGGGCAATTTGGGGGCAAAAAGGCAATGCTGGCTTACAGTTTAGTTGTTTGTAAATTCAAAATAGGAACCTTTAAAATGTAATTTATATGAAGGCCCCAAATTTGGAATGTATAAATAGTTAAAGATTTGGACTTTTCTTGAAAACTGGCATAGCTAGAAAATGATTAAATGGGGTTGCAAAAATGAAGATTAAATTAAATTGTGCTTTATGATAGAAAATAGGGAGGAAAGGAAAAGGTCGTGTTATACTGTCAGAACTTTCATGGGCTCTTATTCCAGCCTTAGGGTAGGCATTTGTATTGACCCAGGAAACTACAGACCTGTCAGTCTAACCTCAGTTTCTGGAAAAATTATGGAAAAGATCATACTGGGTGCCATTGAAAGACATTTGAAGAGCAATGCAATCATCAGGCACAGTCAACATGGGTTCACAAAGTCCTGTTTAACTATTTTGATGTCTTTCTGTAAGAAGGTCACCCACTTAGTGGGTGAAGGGAGAGGAAGTGGATGTAGTTTTTCTGGATTTTAGAAAAGCTTTTGATACTGTCCCCCACAGCACCCTTTTGGACAGCTGAGATAAAGAGGTACACAGTCCACTGGGCAAAGAGCTGGCTGGATGGTAAACTCAAAGGGTTGTAGTGAAGGCAGCTGCATCTGGCTGAACATGTCACCAAGGGTGCTCCTCAGGGCTCAATTCTATGGCCAGTTCTGTTCGATGTATTTATCAACGATCTGGATGCAGGAGTTGAATGCACCGTTAGCAAGTTTTCTGATGATACCAAACTGGGAGGTGCTTTTGACTCTTGAGGGACAAGAGGCCTTGCAGAGGGATCTAGATAGATTGAACATTGGGCAATCATCAGTGGCATGATATTTAACAAGAACAAATGCTGGATCCTGCACCTGGGTTGCCATAAAACCAGGCACAAGTATAAACTGGGAGAGAAGTGGTGGGAGAGCAGCTCTACATAGAGGGACCTGGGGGTGCTTGGGGCCAGCAGGCTCAACAGGAGTCACAGTGGGCCCTGGCAGCCAAGAGGGCAAACCACGTCCTGGAGTGCATCAAACACAGCATCACCAGCTGGTCAAAAGAAGTGATTATCCCACTGTATTCAGTGTTGGTGCAGCCTCACCTGCAGTGCTGTGTGCAGTTCTGGGCCCCACCATTTAAAAAGGATGCAAGGTCTTTGAATGGATCCAGAGGAGAACAACAAAGCTGGTGAAAGGGCTGGAAGGTATATCCTGTGAGGATTTTGGGCTTGTCTAGTTTGGAGAAAAGGAGGCTGAGGGGTGACCTCATTGCTCTCTACACCTTCCTGAGGATGGGAAGTGGAACAGGAGGTGCTGAGCTCTTCTTCCTGGGATCCAGTGACAGGACACATGGGAATGGCTCAGAGTTGCACCAGGGGAGGTTTAGACTGGGCATGAGGAAGCATTTCTTTACCAGAAATTTCCAGGGTCAAACCCTGGGACAAGGCTTCCTGGAGAGGTGTTGGATGCCCCAAGCCTGTCAGTGTTAAAGAGGTGTTTGAATAACACCCTTGATAACATGCTTTAACTTTTGGTCAGCCTTGACAGTGGTCAGGCAGTTGGACCATCTGGTGTTCAGACTGTTGTAGGTCCTTTCCAACTGGAACTATTTTATTATTATATTTTCATTGTGACTGGCTGTGCTGGTTTAACAGAAACAAAGAACCACCAGGTCACTCTTTCATTCCCCACCCCTTAGTAGTTCATTCCCCATGCCCCAGCTGTGGGATAGGGGAAGAATCAGAACAAAAAGGCAAGAAAAAGACTGTGTCTTGTTCCAGCTTCTTGTGAGAATTAACCTTTTCCGTGCCAGAACCAGGACACTGGCAGAGAAGCTATGGTTTTTGTCCTTGTTGGCCTTGTCACTAGTGTTCATTTCTTAATCACTTCAAGACTGTAATCTTGCAATATACTCTTTGTGCTTTTACCCTTTAAGTTTGGGGACTGATTCGGGTCTCCAATGTAAAGGATTACTTACTGAGCAACATATTTTGCTAGGAATGTATGTAGGCCATGAGAGAGGTATCTGATGTACATATCTGCTGTATGTATTTATCTGTTGAAAAGGTGGTCCTTGATTTAAGGTTGCTGAATTACAGCATTAATTTATTTGAAAGAGTTTTTTGTCCAGTTACTGGAATATTCAGAATGTTTCATATGTCCTTTTTTATCAAGTTTAAAGGAACAAAGAATGAGCTGATGGTATTGTCAAGAGTAGTGCTCCATTATGAAGGAGATGACACCACCTGATCTAGAAAATAAAAAATATTATATGGTGGTTATTTCTTTTGGTTTAGGTTTGTTTTCTTTTTCTTTATTTTAAGAGGTTGTCTTTTGAAGATGCACCTTGCAAAGTTATTTTGAGTAGAGAAAAGCTAAGCTTAAGTTGTCGATTCTTGATATTTTTATTATAAGAACTTTACTGATGCTTCTTAGCGTCTTTTTCACTTGATGTAAAACCAAAAGCAATCTGCAGTGCTTTTTGTGGAATGCTTGACCATGCCAGCAGTACCTTTTGTATTTAAATGTATGCTTAATTTCTTATCAGATTAGCTGTAATATTCTATCTGTATGCAATTTACAACATATTTAAAGAAAATTACAGGTGTAGTCCTCAGTTTCAGGAATTGGAATAGTAATAGTGAGTATATTCTTTCTCTGGAACATAGTAAGATATTAAAATAAGTACATTTTAAAAAATCTGTGGTTGTTTAGTGTGGGTTTTTTAATAAACTTTTCTGAACTGGGGTTTTTTCTTATAGCTCCTATATTTTCAATGATTACAGTGAGCTAGAGCACTGGTTCTGTAGCATTTTTTGTTGAGTCCACAGATGTGGTTTTGATAGAAGATTTGATTGCTGGTTTTGGAAGCCAATCTTTTGTTTAGTCATTGCTCATATTAAGCACAGTCCATTTAACCTTCAGTATCTATCAACTGTGCTTCTAAGGAGGAGTGGGGATGGGAAGTACTGTCATTGCTTCTAACAGCTCATCTTCAGTTGTGGCCATTTTCTGATATTACAGAGGAAATTAGGGGAAGAGTTCCAACTCTGACTACTTCTGATTTCCTTCTTTTGAAAAAACAATAGAAATGTTTCTTGATCCCTGCAAATGGCTTTTTAAATCTTTTGAAGGAATAAGTGGTCTATTGTAATATATGGTCTTTTGTCTTCTGCTGTATAAACTTAATAATTGAGTTCCTATACTGCTCTATCTCATTTTACCCCAGTGTAATTCAACACACTTCAAGAGATGCTTCTTTTCTTGTTATACAGCTTTGCATGTTAATGATGCGAGTGAAAGCTTTAATGGCGGAATATCATCAATGGCAAAATAGAAGTCCTGATTGTAAGTAACTGCATCCATGTAAGGTGTACTTATATAAAACCTCTGCAAAGTCTCTTTTATCTAAGCATCCTAAACTCTGTATATATCAAATGTCTGCTGATTGTATTTCGTACTCTAAGTACTTTAAAATTAAATTAAGTAATTCCCACAGTAGCATGTATGTTTCACGTCTGTATTCTCTTTGGACTTCGGTTCTAAGTGAACTTAGAATTCACAATGAATTCTACTATAATTTAATCTTATGATTATGAACAAATAAATGCTTTATTGGTATCATCATTCATCAGTCGGTTAATGGAATAATAACTACTAGCAGATCTCCTAACAAAATAACAGAGCTTCATTATGCTATTACCCTCCTTCAGTGATCATTTCCTCTCCATCTTTCGCATGTATTTCCTTTTAAGGCAGAACTACTTTGGCAAATAATTCTCTCTTCATTTTGTCTTTTAAGAAACCGATACTTTTTTTTTATCTTTGCAAGTATTGCTAATAAACTAACAATACTCTACCCTGACACATTTTTAACCATACCTCCTTGAGTTGTTTTTTTTTTTTTGAAGTAAGCCTGTAGTGGTAAGTCATACACCACAATAAAATATCCAGCTTGGATTTAACAGGGGTCAGAGATTTCAGGTCAAGAAAAAGTGGTAAAAGACACCTCAGTTTTTTAACCCACAGGAATCCAGATCATTTATTGATCTTGAGAAGCACAAGCCACTGAGACAAGTGGAGCTGTTATATTTGTTAAGCATTGTCAGTCAAAAGGTATAAATCCATCAGTTCTTCAAAATTCTTTTTGTAGATAAGCATTAATGCTGACTGATTTCATTCTGTTGCAAGGCTGATGTGGCCAGCCATTGAAAATAAAACCATTCAGAAGTGTCCAGTATCTGTTTTTTCGGATGTCCCATTTGGAGACTCCTAAAACTGTTCACACTACACTATCATTAGTATTCTGGTAGCACTTGCTGTTATGTTTCCTGTCAATGAACTATTAGCACCTTTTGACCCATTAAAAAGGAATACATTGACTCATTTGAATATATTTATGCCAGTAGAGGCTTTGTTTTTTTAGTGATTACAATTAAATTAGGAAAGTGTTTTAGACAGCAAGTGGTGATTTCTAATATTTTGTCGTATGGCCAAATTGGAATGCATTTTCAGATGAACATTGAAGTCACTTCTCCAGCTTCTTTCAAAGTTCATGTACTTGCTGCATATTGTGATCAAATAATAGGAGTTGGTGAAAAAGATATTTCTTTTTTGTAAATTGACGTTATTGTTCTATTAGAATAAATTCATAGTTCATGTGCTTTTAAGCCTGTGTCTAAGAATGGTCAGTCTCAAATGCTTTTTTAGAGGAATGTAGACCAAAAGTATTACATTGAATGAATTTGGGAAATACTGGTTCCTGGCTGCTGCTTGTAAATAAGTTGCTGGCTTAAAACAAATGAATTGAAAGCACTTACTTTTTATCTGGGTAAAATACCTGGAGATGTTGGGTTTCCTTACTGAAATATGTAATTATTTTAAACTTTAACCTGTTTGCCTAAAAATATTCTTGGGGCTTGACCTATTTTTATTGGCGAGCTGACTTACTTTGCTCAACCATTCTTACTTGTTCCCAGGTGACAAGATTTATTATTAGAAATCTTAATTTTGTACTAGCAAAATGATCTACACATATTATAACCCAAATAATATTTTGCAGCCAAAGCTTTGCCTTTTTGGCTACCTTTCTGAGGGAAGAAAAAAGAAGTTGCTGCTAAGAATTTGAATAGAGTTAAAGTGCTTATATGAAAATTAAGAGTGTACTGTGCCTACACCTTCTCTGTCCCTCTTGGCTCATTTCTACCTACTGTTTGCTTTGAAGGAGGAATTACTTAATTGAAAACATTGTCTGAATTTATCTAAATAGGAATAGTAGAAATACTAATTTCATACAATTTACCAGCAGAGCATGGATGTCAGGCTGTCTCGTTACTTTGGTTTCAGCCTTTAGTAATGGCCAGGTCATTTCTTGTAAATGAGGGCCTGTCAGGATTTCAATTTTAAACCTTATTTTCAGAGGTTATAACTTGGCAGTTCTACATTTCTTTGGGCACAATATTGGCAAATAGACTTGAATCCACAATGCAAATTGTATTTTTGCAAAGCTTTCACCTTAGTCTCTTGTTCTTTTTCTACTTCTGGTACTGTTTATGTAGCTCTAGAGCTGCTAAATCAGCTGAATTAAAACTTTTTAACAAACATTGACTCATAAAAATAGAATTTAACTTTTACCTTTGCAAAATAAGGAAGTGGAAGCAACCATATTTTAGACCATGTAATAGTTGTGGTTTCTGCATAATTTCTATTTTTCTTTGCAAAATGTCAGTATTCTGCCAAATTCCTCTTATTTTAACAGAAGTTTCTGTATAAACATGTGCATAGTAGTTGCTTTTACCTTCCTAGCATCTGGTAGTATTTTGCTTAGTAATTGTACTATGTATCACTAGGCAATTCTGTTTGACATTTGATTTTTGCAAGTGTAGTGATTCATATCTGAAAAAACTTTAACTGACAGTAGACAGAGCAACCTGTGTTCTTTAAAGGAGCAGCTGCCATAAATGTGTTGTAGGACACTGGGACATCTGCACTGTTCCTTTAGTAAATTAGGGTTAGTAATTTCTTTCCTAGGAAGATGTGGCTTTCTATTCTGATACTCAGATAATATGTATATTGAATGAGAAGCACATCATCAGGATTAGGCATCTAAAACTGAAGAAAACAGTAGTAGAAATTGATAATTCCAGGTAGTGAGGGCTCAGGATACCTTGGGGGGGCAGCAGGGGGAAGAGTTGTATGGGTTTCTTCAAATATGCCAGTGAATGTGAATAAAAGCACACTATTGAATTTTATCACGTGTATGTAGGATATTCATGTCACTAAAGAAATATTGCTCTAATAATAGCACAGAACGCTACCTCCCACAGGTCTTAAACATAAGCTTAACTTAGGAGCACTCTACTCAAATTTTGTGTCAAGATTTAGAGACCGTAATTCGCTCTCTAAATAAAAGGGATTTTATTGTGACATGTAATTTAACACATTCTGAACTAGGTTTTGCTGATTTTCATCTGAGAACACTGCTTTTAAAACTACTACTCTAAGGCTTCTCAAAATGTGTTTACGGAAAAAGTACTTTTTTATAAATTTATGAAATCAACTGTATTGTAGGGTTTTCCTGTCAAAGGAAAAGCTTTTATTGAAGTAATGATTTCTAATATTAGGGATTTGGAGCCCAAGTTGAAAAAAAAATATCCCTGCTGTATTAAGATTTAAATCTGTTAGAGTAGCTTTCATTTCTCCCATTAATAGGTCCAAACACTTGACTTTCAAAAATGTATATATTTATGCAGATGATGCAAGTTGACATGAAATTGAGAATTGATTGGTGCCCATTGAAGGCTATCAAATACAACAATTTACTTTTTATTCAGAAAATTCATGAGCATAAATCATTGCATTTTGCAGAAGCATTCTGGGGAAACATTGCCACATCCTTGAATAGTACTGTGCTGTTCCTCACATACTGCTGTTGGAGTTGGAGTTGTTAGGGTTGGAATTAGGATGTTGGCCATGCTGGGCCTTTCATCTCCCTACATGTAGCTGTTCTTGTGAACAGCTGGTTGTTCATAAACAGATGGTGACATGGTTTTTAAGTTCTTTAATTCTGATAGGTTTTACAATCCTAAACAAGCATTTATGAGGCTGTTTAAGAAGGAATTGGAAGAATTTGATTGCCCACATTGGTAATGTTGATGGAATCTCTTCCACTGAAAAAAATCAGGCTTGCTTATCTTGAAGTACGTCTGGACCTCATATTTCAATTTTATGTACTTGAGCTAGATTAGGTATAAAAAATAACGCAGAAGCATTAACACCACCCTTTTTTCAGTCTAATTTAATTGACTGAATTAAGCTTAGCCCAGCAGGACAGCACAAAATGTGGTTAAACTGCTGCTGACAGCCAAGCTAGTTTTTTAGAAGCTACACAAGTTTCTGTCTAGCCAGGCTGCTTTTCAATATAAACAAGTCTATATTATCCAATGCAAATAACCCAATTAATTTTTATTTTTCAGTAATTTCCACCAATCCAGATGTACTGTTAGAATTAGGAAAAGAAGAGGTAAGGTTTTTTTGTTAAGAGATGATGCGATTAGTCTTTCTTTTCAGGATCTTTGTTTTCTGAGTGCTATATGTTTTATGTTGGTGCAATTAGCACAGATTCATTCTTGTAAACAGCTGCAAAGATTTAGACAATGCAACCCTGGCGCTATAGGTGACTTGTCCTCATTTTTTCATCAGATGAGCAGTTCATGTGTGTGCTTCATAATCTGCTTTAGGTATAAACAACTATGTTGTTTTATTGAGCTTCAATAAGACACTGATGAGCAACTGGTGACAGTAACATTTTAAATAGCTCCAACTGGATTTAAAAATCTTGTGGCATTCTGTAGCCATATTCCTTAAACTGCAGATCATTTTGGCCCTCTTTACCAGTTTTACGGTGTAGCCTTGCATAGAGCAAATATAATGGACTGGGTTATCTGCAAACTGTAGGTTTATTTTTACTTTTTTATAGTTGCAGAAAGTGAAGAATGATCTTGAAATGGTGCTGTCGATAGTTCAGTTAAAGAATAAAAAACTGGAAGAAGATCTGAAAAGGTAATACGAGAATTTGGACTTAAGAATGCCATAACCTTTTTTTTACCACACATTTTTATTTGGACTGTCCAGGAAAACTATTTATCTGTTGTGCCATTTCCTACTTTTCATATTTCAAAGAGAACAGCAGTGGCATAAGGAACAGGAGCTGATACTAGATACTCTTACTGGAATTGAAGAAGAGACAAAAATCAAAATTCAACAACTTCCCAAAACGAGGTATTTCTACAGTGTTGTGGTTTTATATTGAAGAATTTAAATATCAACCAGAGCAAAAGAGCAGATAAACTCTTAAAGCATACTTGTTTTATTAAATGTGTCAAATAAGTCAGTAATCCATATTTGAAACATGGAAAGTATTGCTACTATCTGCTACTAATATCCTGTGATTCAAGATGTTGGACTTAAAAACAATAGAAAATAAATTTGGCAGGGTTTTTTTTACTGAAGAATAACTTTTAAATTATTTTAATGAATTTCATGCTCTATTGCTATGTTTTTACTATTAGTTTGACTGCTAGAGCATTTCAAGAACTGCAAAATAAAGTGTCGAAACTAAGAATGTATAAGGAAGAGCTCTTGGATGCTCTGGGTGAATTCCTAGAAGAACATTTTCCCCTTCCAGAGAGTGATGGAAGTGCTAAAAAGGAGGTAAGATTTTCTTAATAGCTATTAGATTTGTAATGTTCATTTTCTGTTTACTTAGATGCAATATCATTTTAAATCACAGGCATAGAATCTGCTGTTATATTTTGAAATAAGTAACAGTCCTTACAGCTGATCCTTTAGTCTAATTGATATTTTTCAGGTTGGTTTATATTAAAGGCTGTTCCCATCTGGATATTTTCTTTTTAATGCATACATCCTTTACCCTATGAGATACATAGTAACGTATTGTATTTCTTACTGAACTGCAAGCTGTGCCAAATTTGGAAATGGTGAGGGGTTCACTCAAATTTCTTCCATTTTCTTTTTTACTGGACTAGGCAAGTGGATTCATGTTTTCCTTGGCAAAGCAAATTTTAATTGTCTAACAATGTTTTTGGAACAATAATAAGGACAAGTGTTTATAATTACAATGTAGTTTGGAATGTTAACCATCAGTTTCTGTTCAGGCAAACTGGGCCAAAAATTATCTTAAAACTTTAGGGAAAACAGGCAGTCAGGGAGTATTTTGCATAATAAGTTCAAAGTCTGCAATAAAAATAAACTTTTTACCATTACTATTCGAAAGAATAACTACAAAAAAGGGGGGGTTGATTTTGATTTCAGACACACTTAAGAATACAGAAATAGAAAGTATTTCTTTAATCCAGTTCCCTGTTATTTTAAACAACCACATAATATGATTTCTTTAATATTGTCATTGAACTCCACTTTAAAACTAATTATTTTTGTTACTGCTGTTTCTATTAGGATTTATTCTAGTATTTCAGTACTCTCGTTAGAAACTGTCTGTTAACTTCCAGTCTAAATTTATTCATGTCTAACGCAGATCCATGTATTCTTATGCCCATCTTGTCCTTAGAGCAGCTCCTTTTCTTTCTCTTGTCTATTCTTCTTGATATATTTATAGACAGCAATCTTATAACCTCTTTCTTTGTTTTGCTAATTGAACTAGCAAAGCTTTCTTGTTTGTCTCCTGTAAGATAATTTTTTTCAGTTCCCTGGCTTATTTCAATAACACCAACTTCCTATATTTGTCTTCACTAGGATTCGTCTCTCTTGAAACCTGGTAAAAACCTATTTTATAAACAATAGTAGTCATCACAAAAGCAACTGATTACAACCTTGTCTTTTTCTTCCTCTTATTTCCAACTGATGAACCCTGAGATTTTAATTAAAAACAAAAATGTCTTTGCATAGAAGTACATATTTTGCACATGGAAGTGCCAAATGGAGCCTTCAAGGCACAATGTCCATTTTCAAAGTCTTACTTGGTCATGTTCAAATATCTTATTCTATTATATCTTAGTCTTTCTGTATATCAATGCCTTCTAATTTCCTGTGATTATTGAATATTATACATTTTGTTAAAACATTAAGAAATAAAAGTTTCGGGGATTTAACTAAAAATTATCTTTCAATCATATATTCCTGATTTCAGTCTGATATATCATCTCCCTAGCTGCTGGTTCTTATTCCTCTCACAATTTTTCTAGGACATGATTCTTGAAACACTGACTTTCCCAGATGCATTTTAAATGATTGTCTGTTTTTCCCATATATATCATTAGTATTTCCTTAAAACTGTATTTCCTATAATGAGATACACCAATTTATTTGCTCCCATTTATGTGATGTCATAGAAAAATATAGGCCGGAAGTGACCTCTGGAGATCTTCCATTCCAACCCCATCATCAAGGTAGTGCCAATATCAAAGTTGGATCAAGTTGCTCATGCTCATATCGAGCTGTGTTCTAAAAATAAGAAATAGTGGATTCATGTGTGTTTCAGAACTCTGAAGAAGATTTTATATAAAATTTCCCACCCCAGAGCAAATATCAACTGTTTAAATTTTCTTAGCCTATGTTATACTATCAGAAGTTTTTACTACCTATCCTGCGTTCATCTCCCTTCCATGCTGTTTTCCTTAGTAAAATCTAAAGAAAAAAAAATAATCACCCAGGGTGTTTGGGATTAACCAAACCTTTGCCTGCTCACAGAAGCTCAACTTCTACCTTTTCTAAATTTTCTTAAATGTAACATTTACTTTGATAAACTTCCAAGCAAGGTCTGATCTTAATTTTATTTACACATTTTCTGAACTCTTAAACAGAGTTTGTTTTCTGACAAGTCTTTTTCTTTCTTTTCACTCGTGAATTCATATCTGCTTCTATATCTTTTTACTCAGTTGGATCTCAGTGGCTGAACTGCAGGTCTGCAATCTGCATCAAAGTGATTAACCATGAAGGCAGGAGAGACAGCCACTTTTACCTACATTGTTTTCTTTATTGTGTAGAAATACAAGTTGATGGCATTAGCAGTGAAATTTGCTGCTTCATTGTTTTGGGGAAACATGTTATTCACATCTGTTATCAGCTTGGTTCAACACTGGAAGCACTGAGCTCTGAAGTCCAAATTACATCAATAATTTTGTGTCACTTCATGGAAGCTTGTGTTCTCAGTAGTTCTGCGTGTGGGGTTGATGGCTGTAGGGTATGGCTCCTAGTGTGAACTGCTCTGAGCCACCTTTCTCCAGGCACTCGTGTCTGGGATTGGGAAAGAAGGCTGAATCACAGCAGCCCAGGTTAGCCATGGCCCAAGAACTTTAGTTTAGGTAGTGATTGAGGTAAAAATTTTCTGGCATTTTAAATCTCTGTTAAAAAAGACACTTTTGTTTTCAAGATAAGAAATATGAAAAGTCATATGTTGAATATTCTTTATGGTAGTCTCTCTCATGGAAGGGAAAAGAGGGTGCTTTTCAGGTTAAATAAATGCTGAGCATTATATATATTAATTAATTAGAGCTACTTATATTGGTGACACTTAAAATATGTAAGTAATTTAATTTTACAAAACAATATTTACAATGTATATTATAAACCTAGCAAAATAAGTTTGCTAGTTCTGTGACAGTGCAAATCTCTTTACACTAATATCCTTAGGATTTTATTCTTTACATATCAGTTTTAGTAATAATTGAAGTCATAAACTAATTTCAACTTTGATACATGAATATTGAACCCATTACCTAAGTTAGGAAATAATACTTTGGGCCAGGGACATACAAGAATATGAAGTATCTTCATGATTGCTCCAAGGAACCTTTTGTGGTTTCTTAGTGTAGATTCTATTTCCTCAGCCTAGTATCAATATAAAGGCACAAAGATAGCCATTATTGACCCCAAGCTCCATGGCTTGCAAGATTTCCATGGAGCATAGAGTACATCCCCCTTGTGTCTTTCTGAAGGTGAGAGTATAAGAATTGTGACAGGAAAAACGGACCCAGAACTTGTCTTTCACAAATTCTTATTTGCTTGTATTCTTCTACTTCTGTTCCAGAAGTGGTGTTTGTGTAAGATCCTGCAGATCTGTTAATATCTTAGGACTTAAACTGACACATTAAACAGCAGTGCTGAGTAAGCAGCCACCACTGTTGTATTTTCTCCTTTATTTTGTTGAATGTGAAAGTGGAAGGAGGAAAAAGGATAAAATTGGAAAATAAAAGAATCAGGTTCACCCTGCAACGGCACAAGCAGTTTTTTGGTGTTGCTGCCTAAGGAATCCATATCAATTTATAGGCAAATGGCTTGATTTGCTTGCTACAAATGAATAGGTAATTTCCTAATGGGTTGCTGTACAAATGGTATTTTAGCAAGGAATTTTTTTTTCAAATTTTAAATGATTCTATTTCTTAAGCTTGGTCAATTGTTTTAATTGAAGTCAGAGTAAAAGTAAACAAATATCAAAATCACTACGAACTTAAGTCTTGAGCTGTGTCAAACTTGCATTTTAAACATTTTCCTAAAGTTAAAAAATTAATTTTTTTCCTAGCAGATCATATTCATAGAATGTTTTGCACTGCATACATTTATAAATATGATATACTTGGTTTTATTATAATATAAACCCAGGTAAATATACTATGATCACTTAAGATTAATCTTTTTTAATAATCAATTTTAAAATTATTACATTTAGAGTATATAATATTGAACTGGTGTATGAATGATTTAAATACTATCTTGTATTTTTGTCATGACTAAATCTAAGTAAAAGTCTTCATCTGTTGTGTACTATGAAATCAAATAATTGTGTGATTATTTTTCTTTATCAATTAACATTTTTCCTGAATATTTAGTTTTGTTTTCTGTTAATTTGGCTGGGGGTGGTGGTTATCTTTGCAGAATTCTTCTGAAGAGCCAGATGTGGAACTGATAACACTGAATGAAATTTTAGAGGTAAGATTTTTTTTTTTTCATGTAGATATTTGGGGGATTTTCCAATACTCAGATCTGATCATAATATACTGATAAGATAAATAACAGTTTATGACAAAGCATTAAGATCATTCTCCCACAACATCCTCATTCTCCCACAAAATCCTCATTAGAAAATTAAAGAAGTGTGGGCTAGATGAGGGAGCAGTGAGGTGGATTGAGTCCTGGCTGTGTGACAGAACTCAGAGGGTTGTCATTAATGGAGTAGGGTCAAGTTGGATGCCTGTAACCAGCGGTGTCCCCCAGGGGTCAACAGTTGGCCCAGTTCTGTTCAACATATTCATCAATGACCTGGACGAGGGGACAGAGTGTGTCCTCAGCAAGTTTGCTGATGATACCAAACTGGGAGGGCTGGCTAACACTCCAGAGGGCTGTGCTGCCATCCAGCATGACCTGGACAAGTTGGAGAGCTGGGCAGAGAAGAACCTAATGAGGTTCAACAAGGGCAAATGTAAGGTCCTGCACCTGGGGAGGAAGAACCCCAGGCACCAATATAGGTTAGGGGTGGATCTTCTGGGAAGTACTACAGAGGAAACGGATCTGGGAGTCCTGGTGGATGGCAGGATCTCCATGAGCCAGCAATGTGCCCTTGTCACCAAGAGGGCCAATGGAATCCTGAGCTGCATAAGGAGAAGTGTGGCCAGCAGGTCGAGGGAGGTCATTCTCCCCCTCTACTCTGCACTGGTGAGGCCACAACTGGAATACTGCATCCAGTTCTGGGCTCCCCAGTTCAAGAGAGACAGGGAACTACTGGAGAGAGTCCAACGTAGGGCAACCAAGATGATTAAGGGATTGGAGCACCTCCCTTATGAGGAAAGGCTGAGAGAGCTGGGGCTCTTTAGCCTCAAGAAAAGAAGACTGAGGGGAGACCTCATCTTTGTTTGCAAGTTCCTAAAGGGTGGGTTGAAGGAGGATGGAGCCGGACTCTTTACAGTGGCTTCCAGCAATAGGGCTAGGGGCAATGGGCACAAGCTGGAACATGGGAAGTTCCACTCAGATATGAGGAAGCACTTCTTTACGGTGAGGGTGACAGAGCCCTGGAACAGGCTGCCCAGGGAGGTCGTGGAGTCCCCTTCTCTGGAGATTTTCAAGACCCACCTGGATGCAGTCCTGAGTGATGTGCTCTGGAATCCTGCTTAGCAGGGGAGTTGGACTAGATGATCTCTAGAGGTCCTTTCCAACTCTGTCTAATCTGTGAATCTGTGAATTGACAAATAAAATGTTTAAGAATGTTAAGTCTGATTTTTAATTCCTATCAAATTAAAGCTCCATTTTTTTAAAAGAGGTGTGGCGATAATGTAGATAACCAAATCTTCAATTTAAGCTGGACAATTATTATCCCTTGTTGCTTAATTTTATAATGGTTATTTTAAAGAAGTTTTACAAGCCTTGATAGCTCATAATAGGGGAGACAAATGCTATGCTTAACAAAACATCAATTGTTCCATTTCATGCTATATTTTGTACTGTTTCCCTGAAATATAACATAGTAACAGTTATAGAAGGACCAATTAATGTGTAGTCTTGTGTATTAACTAGATTTTCTTCTGATATGATGGAATCAATGAATCCAATTTGTGCATTTCTAATAGATTTTATAAGTATGCCAGCATTCCTTAATGTGCAATTTATGGATTTGAATTGCAAAGCACAATTTTGAAGGAGCATTGAAGATCTTTTCACTAGCAATGTTCCTTCTTGTCTTAAATGTAGCATTTGAAGTGAAATTTCCTATTCATCCTCCATCCTCACTGTTCAGGCAGTTGTAAGCATCTATATGTAGGACCTTCCCAGGGGGTAGAACAGATTTTCCTGAGGGAAAACTTGGTGAAGAACAGCTTTCTGGTATTAAGATGCTATCATCCGGTCACTATGACATTGTTGTAGTTTAGTTTAAAGCCCAGACTTCGGGCTTACATCATCAAAATAATTTTACATGCCTCAAGTATCTCAGCATGCCTATTAATACCAAATTAGGCAGAGCTTGAAGACATCAGAATTAAAAATAGTCACATTCCCTGTGGAACCAAAATTTTAAAGCTTTTCTAATGCTTTAAAATTGTACTTAATATTTTTCTGACATTGTTAATCTCCTCAAAATGTGACTACATCCAAGTAATGTCTGATTTCCATTTGGAATAATATACTACTTCCAAAATTTTAGACTTATTTTTAATTTTAACTGTCTTGGCATAAACTGTCAATGTCTCTTATCATTGTTTTATGGGGTATTTTGTTGTTGAGCAACTTGGTTCCAGCTTCAAGGGCCTGTTAAATTTCAAAAGTGTTTTAGATACAGATAATAATAGTCTGTGTGCAGTTCTTAAAGAGACAAATGCGAATATCTTTGTATTATGGTTGCAGATTAAGGATTTGCTGTTGTAAAAATGTGATTCGTCACAGAGTTACAATCGGTGCCTGTGTTCCTAACCATGTCTCCTCAATCTCCATGTGTTTTGTTAAATAATGAAAGTGTACATTTTTAATTAATCCACTTTGACACGTTAAGTGTATACATTTATATTATTTAGGCTTATGAGGACCTACTTCATTAAGTTAGTGTAAATAGTAAGCAAGCAGTAAATTTTCTCATGCAAACCTCTGAATTTTTAGAAAGATGAAATATATGGGATGAATGGAGAGAGCACCACAGGATAGATAAGAATATATGATCTGTAATGTCTGCAATATTCCCCATGTGCAGTATTATGAGGATATAAACATGGTCTCCAAGAACAGAAGAAGAATGTCAAAACTGATCTTTGTTTTTAACTCCATTAACTAATTATATATTTAGATAAGGAACAAAGGAGAAGTAAGGAAGTATCAAGAGGAGGTGAGCTGTAAGGTGCTTGTCATGCCTGAACAAGAAGTGATAAAGACCACCCATTTATGAGACGGACAAAACGATTTGATGTGCAAACATAATGAGGTTAAACTAGGACTATGATGTTTAACTTCATTGGTGCAAACTCATTTATTTCTAACACTACCTACAGAAAGACACAAAACACAAGAAAAAGAATTCACAGAATTGCAGGGGTTGGAAGGGACCTTTGGGATCATCTAGCCCAGCCCTCTGCTGAAGCAGGTTCACCTCAAGCAGGCTGGACAGGAATGCATCCAGGCAGGTTTTTATTATCTCCAGAGAAGTAGATTCCACAGTCTCTCTGGGCAGCCTTTCCAGTGCTCTGACACACTCAAAGTAAAGTTTGTGCTCATGTTGAGATGGAATTTCCTGTGTGCCAGTTTGTGTCCGTTGCCCCTTGTCCTGTCACTGGGCACCACTGAGAAGAGCCTGACCCCATCCTCTTGACACCCACCATTTAGGTATTTATAAGCATTAATGAGATCCCCTCTCAGTTTTCTCTCCTCCAGGCTAAACAGGCCCACGCCTCTCAGCCTTTCTTCATAAGAGACAGGCTCTATTCCCTTGATCATCTTCATAGCCTTTTGCTGTACCCTTTCCAGCAGTTCCCTGTCCTTTTTGAACTGGACACAGTACTCCAGATGTGGCCTCACCAGGGCAGAGCAGAGGGGGAGGATGTACTCCCTTGACCACTTTCTTTAGCACCCCAGGAGACCGTTGGCTTTCTTGGTCATAAGGGCAGATTGCTGGCTCGTGGTCAACTTGTTGTCCACCAGGGCTTGAAGGTCCCGCTGCAGGGCTGCTTTCCAGCAGGTTAACCCGTCACCAGTACTAGTTCTCCTCAATCTAAGAAGTTGGCTTTTTTAGGGGGGAGGAAGGGGGCTTAATAGTGAGATGAAATTTAGGAAGCATTGCAAGATGGATGTTCTCTGCCAAAATCTGAAAGGTTAGGGACAGTGATTTGTTGACGGTAAGTCATTATGGTTTTTGAGGCAAGTGATTCCCAAACATCTAACTTTCCCTCTTATTTAATGCTTTTAACCTTAAATTAACAGATACTGATATAAAGATTAATTGTATAACAATTTACCACATTCACGTTCAGAATTTTTGGGCATTTACAGTTACGCTGTCTAAAATTCACTAACAATTTTTGACAGAAGCTGAAAAACTTCATCTGGATAAAAGAAGAATTCTGGTTCTAATATTTTTTCATCAAAAAAGATGTAATGAGGTTAATCGCATGTTCTTTGTTTTACTTCTACCTTGAACAGGTCTTATATTTCTCTTCTGTAGTCTTGTAATTCTTATATTGCCTACATAAGTATTTCATTACAATCATTCGTATAAATTTCATTAAAGGAGATAAAAATCTAGCTGTTTTGTTCATTTCTAAAATCTTAGCATTTTGGTATTCCAGATCCTCATAGGCAAATTAATGAACACGCCACATGAACCTTACGTAACCATCGACGACTCATTTTGGCCACCTTACATTGAGCTGTTGCTGCGATATGGAATTGCCCTGAGGCATCCGGAAGATCCGAACAGAATGCGCCTGGAAGCCTTTCACATGTAGCGTGACCTGCTTATTTCCTTTAAAATGAAGCAAAGCAGCAGTGCTTTTATTGAGGGCTAAAGCATACTTACGTTTTATGATTAGCTTTTTTCTTATCAGCGGCCTCTTCTTGTAGGATGATTTTATCTAGTGAAGTTTATATTTGGTCAGGATATGAAATATGAAAAAAGAAAAAAAAATTTCTACTTTACCTGCTCACAGTTACAGTTGGCTTTTAGTTTAATGGCAACTGATGCCATTTGCTCTGTGAAGTGTTTTTTCAGCTTCTTTAATAAGAGGCAGATTCAGGTAATAGACCAAGTAAAGATGTTTTAACAGTCCCTTTTATTTTAAAAGTCAGACTTTATACGTGACTTTTCTAATATAAATAATTTTTTAGATTGCTTTACCTCATCTCAGTTTCCTTTAGTATTTTGTTGTACTTTGTAGAAGCAAAATTTGAAATAATTTATCTTCTCCTGTATTGCAAACATTTGGAACTAACAGTAGCATCTAAAGAATGTAGTGGGTTGGGTTTGGGTGTGAGGGGATGGCGGGGGGCGGATGGTAATTGGGGTGGTGTTCTGTTGAGGGGTTTTTCCCACAGAACCATTGCAAACAAATTTATTTAAGATAAAGGCTTGCAGAAGTTGACACATCTTTCTGTGCAAAGGGCTGCAGATGTTGAGTGTGCAACTCTACAACGGCATGCTTCCTAAGTGGCGTATATTATGTTATGCTACATTGTCTAACAGGATCCGTTTTCGCTTTTTCAGATCTAGGTAACCAAGGCTTATAACAGATCTCTGTTCTATTGATTTCTGCAGTTTGTAAATTGATAGTTACCTTCAGTATAAATGCTGGCATTCTGTGTCATCCTAATCTGCTTTTCTATAGCCTTCATTATTGTACAATGCACAAAATTCCACTCTTGTTTATCTGTAGTGACTATAACCTTGGGAAATAAAATATGCCTTTTATTAACCAGATTTCAGTTTATTGATTTTTTTTCAGTTCATAGAATAAAATATAGAATCACAGAATGGTTTGGTTTGGAAGAGATCATCCAGTTCCAACCCCCCTGCCATGGGCAGGGACACCTCCCACTAGAGCAGGTTGCTCAAAGCTCCATCCAGCCTGGTCTTGAACACTTCCAGGGATGGGGCATCTCCATCTGCTCTGGGCAACCTGTTCCGGTGTCTCACCACCCTCACAGTAAAGAATTTCTTCCGAATAGCTACTCTAAATCTCCCCTCTTTCAGTTTAAAACTGTTACCCCTCATCCTATTGCTACACTCCTTCATAAAGAGTCCCTCCCTGCCTTTGCTGTAGGCCCCCTTTAAGCATTGGAAGGCTGCTGTAAGGTCTCCCTGGAGCCTTCTCCAGGCTGAACAACCCCAACTGTCTCAGCCTGTCCTCTTAGGAGAGGTGCCCCAGCCCTCTTATCATCCTCGTGGCCCGCCTCTCAACCTGCCTGAGCAGGTCCATGTGTTTCTAATGCTGAGAGCTTCAGACCTGAACTTGGGTGACCCCACCTTGACTACTGAGATCAGAGCAGAGGGGAAGAATCACCTCCCTTGACCTGCTGGCCAGGCTTCTTTTGATGCAGCCCAGGATCTTGTTGGCACATGGCTGTGTCATACTCAGTTTTTCACTTGCCAACACTCCCAAGTCAGGGGTTGCTCTCAATCCATTCTCTGTCCAGCCTGTATCCATGTTGGAGATTGCTATGACCCAGGTGCAGGACCTTGCACTTGGTCTGGTTGAACTTCATGAGGTTTGTATGGGCCCACTTCTCGAGCTTGTCCAGGTCCCTCTGAATGGCTTCCCTTTCCTTCCGTAGAGCTTGGTGTCATCTGCAAACTTGCTGAGCGTGCACTGTCCATGTCCCCAAAAAAGATGTTAAATAATACCGGTCCCAATACCAACCCCTGAGGGACATGACTCATCACTGGTCTCCACGCAGACATTGAGCTATTGACTGCAACTCTTTGTGTGCAACCATCCAGCCAATTCGTTATCCACTGAGCAGTCCATCTTGTCAAATTCAAGTTAGAGACAAGGATGTCTTGTCGGACAGTGTCAAATGCTTTGCACAAGTCCAGGTAGATCACGTCAGTTGCTCTTCCCTTATCCACTAATGCTGTAACCCCATTGTAGAAAGCCACCAAAAGTATAGACATGATTTACCCTTAGTGAAGCCATGTTGGCTGTCGCCAATCACCTCCTTATTTTCCATGTACCTTAGCGTAGTTTTCTGGAGGATCTGTTCCATGATTGTTCCAGGCCAAGAGGTGAGAGTGACTGGCCTGTAGTTACCCGGGTTTCCCTCTTTTACCTTTTTAAAAATGGGGGTTAAGTTTCTCAAATATGATGTACAGTGGCTTGGAAACTTCATCTGCCAGTTCCCTCAGGACTCTCAGATGCATCTGTGGTGGGTTGACCTTGGCTGGCCATCAGGTGCCCACCAAGCCCCTATATCAGTCCCCTCCTCAGCTGGGCAGGGGAGAGAAAATACAATGAAAGGATCCTGAGTAGAGGTAAGGACAGGGAGAGACCACTCACAGGGAGAGATCACTGTCAGAGGCAAAACGGACTCGACTTGGGCAAAATTTATTTAATTTATTGCCAATCAAATTGGAGTAGGTTAATGAGATAAAACCAAATCTTAAAACACCTTCCCCCAACCCCTCCCTTCTTCTCAGCCTCAGCTTCACTCCCAATTTTCTCCACCTCCTTCCTCCAAGTGGTGCAGGGGGATGGAGAATGGGGGTTTTGGTCAGTTCATCACACATTGTCTCTGTGGCTCCTTCCTCTTCAGGGGGAGGACTTCTCACACTCTTCCCATGCTCTAGCGTGGCCTAGAATGCATTTTCAGTTTTCAAGGGAAACTGTTTCATACTGAAACAGAGTTAGCTGGAAGCTGGAGCTCCGAAAAAAATCTTGGCAAGTAAATGGAAGAGGTTCAAGGCAGTAATGAAGAACAGATCTTCATTATGACAAAAGCTTGGAATAGGGTCTTCCATCAGTAGTATCAAAACTCAGAAAGGTTGGGGAGTACATCCAAAGACAGAGCAGATTTTCCTCCATGCACGTCTAAGTGACAGTTGTTTAATTGGAATTAACACTTCTGTAAATGCTAATATTGGGACTCTACCAATGTGCATTCTATGAAATAAGGATTTATCTTAATGTCAATTTTTTACTCTGCAATGCTAACATTAAAAGAAGCTGGGAAATTCAATGAACATTCAGAGCTACCAGTCTGAGTAAGATGACAATTTGATCTAACCCACAGATTCAATTAGCTGGACCCCTCTTCCTCCCTACTCACTGTTCCCCAGGCTTCCCTTCTCATTTCCTGCTACGTGGGATAAATTGCCTTGATGATGAGAAAGCTCAGTAGAAAGGGGCAGACCTGCACAATGGGTTTAAATCTAACACTGAGTATTAAATCTGTCACTTGAGTATGCTGTCTTGTTTCATGGAAAAAAAATTCTATTTTGTGTGTGGTTCAGTGCAGATTCCATTGTACATACCTTTGTACCTTAAGTATGCAAGCCCATAAACTCTTTAATAGCTTTTCCTTAGAGCTATATACACACACCTTGTACGTTAGCGCAAGGGAAAGGTCAGGATGGCACTAAAACTTTCCCTCTTATTGCTCATGGCAAGAAGTTGCACTCTGGACCAATATAAGTTCAAACCCCATCTTAAAAAAGAAAAAAAAAAGTGCTGTTTCTTTCATCAACATTTTTTTCTGGGTATGTTGGACCCTTGCTCCCCCAAATAAGTTAGAGAGCACAGAGGCATAGACACAGATATTCCTCCCTCCTCACCACCCCCCTGCCTGCGGCTATTGATAATGACTGAAATTAGTCTGTCATAATTGTTTCACATCATTAATCAACAAATATAGTGGGTAAATCTTCTGCCCAAGAGGAGTACACATCCCCAACAAACACTACAGCCATTGCTCTTCCTGTTGTTCGTCCTGCACCTGAATACTCAGATATAGCACTTGAGCTATTCTTATCTGATACTGTCCTTCAGCCAAAATTTTAGAAGCTTTAACAGTTACCCTTACTTAAAAATAAGACATCTGTAATTCCAAGGGGAAGAAATATAAAAAGCATTGCGACCATTGATACCCACGTGTTTATAACTGGCTGCACCTTGGCGTCTATGACTATGACATTAATTTCTTCAGCATCAGCTCCAGGACCAAGAAATCACATTTTCAGTTTCCCTGCTTACTGCCAGATTTATAAATTAGTACAAATGTGTCCAACTTATAACGAAAAGTCAAGCAAAGCCAATTTATTGAAATATTGTGGATCACTAACAGAAGGCAGGGATAATAATAGAAAAGGGTTCACTACTGAAACCAAGTATACCAGCCCTGACAAGCAAGCTCTTCCTGGTACCAAAATAGGCCCTTGAAATTACTGTCCATCTTGATATACCAGATATGTCAGTAGTAATCACAAATCTAAAATCCAGAAACCATCCTATAGTGAGGTCCAACACATCAGTGATGGCAAACAGACCACTTATGGATTGCTGTAAATGTTGACATCCTTGAGATTTTGCTTTTTTGAAGCAAAATACACACCTTGGATACACATCTTGGAAAAAAACCAATGTGTTTCCCACCACCTACAGGCGGCATTTATTTAGATAGTTTTCATTGTATTTAGAGGAATCGCTTGCTGCAGAGAAGCGTGGCTCAGGAGAAAATTCCTTCCTTCCCATATTTTTAGGAAATATAGTCTGTCAGGTTGCTGATAACCTACAGATCTTTTAAAAGCAGCTTTTGAAAATATTGTAGAGCTTAAAATTAAGGCAACAGTGATCCAAGAGAATGTACCCAGGTTATTCATGTATTAATAGTCATCTCTTTAGTGTTCATATGGATCATCTGCGTAATGAAAGAGTTTTTAGCTTGCTTGATCCATGGCCAGGGGACTCACAATTCAGACACCTATTTAAAGGTGTCTGGGATTCCAACTAAGGACAGTATCTTATCTGTCTGTTCTTAGAAGGATTGATTGCCTAGTCTGCAGTTTCATGGCATGGGTATGAATCACACGAAGACTGTCCCAGAGCTGACTTTTGGAAACCCAGGTTGCACTGGACGTGGTCAGAGACTGCAGCTGATACTTGAACAGTAGACATTGTCAGCAATGGCAAACATCTCATTTTATTCTTGTATGGCAATTATTGCACTTCACTCTTCAGTAAGTCTTACAGAAAGAAGTGGTTGCTTTGATTTATTTTGGAGTTGTAGAAGAGATTGAGCAGAAGTGTAAGCAGAAATTTTTATTCTATTTTTCTGAAGAGGAAACCTCATAATATCCTAGATCAAAGGAAATATCTTGTCACGGCTTCTGAATGACAATAATCCTTTCTATTATTTTAGAGTAACTTTTTTCAAATTAGAGGTTGTTTACATCATATTGCTATCTGTCTTGGCTATCAGAACTGTACGTGGGATTCACAGCTGAGCTCATCTTGCTAACACACAGAACTGCCCTCCAACTCTGAGATCTTAAGTAAAACATTGTATATCAATTTCTATATAAACAATTGGCTGATGATAACAGGACAATCCTGAGAAGTATCAGCCAGGCTTCTTGGTAAGCCTCAATTAATCTTTGTGTTTTCTATAACATCCAGTGGTGATCAGGATAGATGCTATGACAGTAACAAGCAGTTAAGGACAGGTTTCTTTGACTGCAATAATTTCTGGGTAAGGTAATATTGTACTTGGCTGGGTTTATTTGATTAGGCCTGTATCTCTGGAGTATTGACACTGCTTAAAAACCCCTCACTGCTCTGACTCTGCTAAGCATCAGATAAACAGGAGGCTTCTCCATCTAACCCATATCATATTCTCCCAGTATGGAGCTGGAAGGCTTTAATATGGTCAAGAAAACAGATGTCGGTCACAACCCTGTCACCGTCCAGGGTATAATTAATGGATAAA